AATGGTGTTTGCAGACCAACAAACACAATTCCTTTCCATGCGCCTAGAGGACACAGATTTCTAAATCACTGGAATAAGTGTAGATCCTTAATGTTTTCGCCTGGAAGAGACATTACAAATTAATTTTCATGGACAAAATAATTTTCATTACAAATTAATTTTCAGTCCTTTCTACTGGAAGGATCGTATATATGTTTATGCTTTGTTTTCCTCTGGCACCTTTTCTTGCCCTGTTATACAGAAGAAGAAGCAGTCATATTTACTGATCAAAGGAACACAGATTTGTTTGTGGGTTATTCAGCCACATTCACCTGCAATGTCTCATAGCCAGGTGTGACATATATCCAGGGGTGTCTTGATGGATCACCTCTTCACAACAACTTTGTCATGGAAATGTCTAAGCAGGATGGGACAGTCCTCCCTCTATCCCGAAATGACATGACGTGCCATGACTTGGGCACTGTCACCTTCCAAGCTGTCCCTCTTATCTTCAGCTAAATCATCAATCAGAAGTATTTTGTTGTTAGCAAGACACAAATTGGACCTCCGCAACAACTCGGTGTGCTAGTGCTTCTACCTGCCTGGCTACCTTTACATGTTGTGTGTCTCTGATATTTCTTCTACAGGCATATTTTTAATGCAGCATAGCATGCATACATTTTAGTATCATAAATATTAGTAGAGGTCCCATCTAATTTGTATGTGATTTACGTGTGTGTATATATATATGTGTGTATATATATGTGTACACATAATGCATCTATAAGTTTACAACATTGCATATTGGGCATGCACATATATACCATGTTTAGTTCTTTGTGGTTGTTGGTTCATTCAAATAACACAGTCAAGAATTGTCAAGAATGAGCATAACAAAGTGATTAATCCAGGAAAGCAACAAGACTCATTTGAAAGCCTTTATCAACCTCTCTTGACCTGTCCACAAAGAACCAGAAGTAACCATTGTGGAGAAAATGAAGGACCTGACTGCACAGGAAGGAGAAGATGCAGTGTTTGAATGCAAGCTGTCCCGGGAGACAAGTGAAGAGAGCCAGTGGTTCCTGGGGGACCTTCGCCTGCAGAGCAATGAACTGACTGAGATCAGAGCTCAAGGGAACGTTCACACCTTGGTCCTGAGGAAGGTGACCCCAGAAGACAGTGGAGCCATCCGCTTCCAAGTGGGGCAGCAAAGGGCATCGGCACATCTGAGAGTGGAAGGTGAGCAAGGCCTGGGCAGCAGGTAGAGGAGGTGCTGGTGAGCCCTCCCACTCCTGCCTTGGTTCCTGGAGAGATGTGTGATGGAGGGAGGAGGAAGGGAATCTTGCAGCAGGATGTGTTGAAATAAGTGCACCAGAGTATGTCAAGAACATGTTCTGAATTAATCTCCCATTTATGATGTTTTTGGGTCATATCTGCTTATTTGTCATAAATCCTGGAAAATAACTTCCATTAAGTTCTGTAGAATGTTTTTAGAAACAGGTCAGAACCACATCTTATGTTGTTGCTTCTTCTATGATATAATTCAGAGTAGAGTTATGGACATAGAAATTAAAGTAGATCCGTAGCTACATAGATATAAATTAATTCTTTTCTTCAGTGATGTAAACCTATGAAGATATAAATGTGATACCATTTAGGGTGGATAGTGCTTCCTCCAAGCATTACATTTAACCAAATTGATTATATGTTTTTATTTCTTGTTGGCTTAAAAGCTCAATAAGTCCTTAAATGAGGCCCAACGTGTTCCCCAGAGAGTCTGCCAATGATATATTTTTCTTGCACATTAGAAAGTGCTATCATGCGTCAGGACTGATTCTGGAAGCACTGGAATAAACTGAAGTGACATGAGAGTTGCCTTGGCATCTGCACGAGGTTTAAGAATTGCAGGATTGCATGCATGAAGCTCTTGAAATGGCCTTCGGCCCAAGGGAGATGGGAGAAGGTGCAAGTGTGTCACAATACCCTGCATATCACCATTGTGTCTGCCTCTCCATTGCAGTTAAACCAGTGCTGTTTAAGGAGGAGCTCAAAAACGTGGAGTCCAAGGAAGGGGGAACGGCCATCCTGCACTGCGAGATCTCCAAGCCGGATGCTCCTGTTGAGTGGAGGAAGGGTGGCAAGGTCCTGGAGCCCAGCGACAAGTACGAGATGAAGCTGAAGGGCAGCGTCGCTGAGCTCATCATCCACGGTGTGGAGCCTGGTGACGCTGGGGCTTACACGTGTAGCACTGAATCCGCAATCACCACGGGTTCTGTGCATGTGCAAGGTAAGGTGGAATGTGATAGAAATGCTCTGACTTCTCTGCCCAAATTTTTCACCCAAGTGTCTTTGAGATTATTAGGGTAACCTCACCTCATATACTTGGCTCTTTCCTCTTTAAAAGAAATTTGTTGTTGAGTAAGTATTAGGAAAAATACTGAATTTCCTATTTTGGTCGGTTATGGCTTCGATAGTTGTTGATGTTCCTTATAGTCTATTAGAGTGGTATAAATAGATACCCCAATGAAACCTTAAGCTAACTTTCTGCCTCTGACCATCTACAATATCAATACAGGTGACTGCTACACCCAGGAGAGCCACATATGACCTAGTCATGAAAGAATATCCTTTCAATGAAACAGTATTTGCAGACAAACAAACACAATTCTTTTGTTTGCGGGTGAAGGACGAAAAATATTTTTTGAATCAGTGAAAGGAATGTAAACTCTTAATGTATTCCCCTAGAAGAAGCATTAGGAGTTCATTTTCATGGACAAATTGACTCCTTTGTACTGGAAGGAACATGTAGATGTTTGTGCTTTTGTTTTTCTTTGGCACCTTCTCTTCCTCTCTTACACAGAAGAAGAAGCAGTCATAGAATCACAGAATGCTTAAGGTTGGAAGGGACCTCTAGAGATCATCTAGTCCAACGCCCCTGCACACGCAGGGTCACCTAGAGCAGGTGGCACAGGACTGTGTCCAAGTGGGTTTTAGTTACTCATTTAAGGAATACAGATTTTCTGTGGGTGAGTCAGCCACATTCACCTGTGAGCTCTCACACCCAGACATGGAGAATGTACAGTGGTGGCTTGATGGATCTCCCCTTCACAACAATTTTTTGATAGAAATCTCTGAGCAGGATGGGTCACTCCACACTCTAACCCTAAAGGACGTGGTGTGACATGACTTGGGCCCTGTCATCTTCCAAGCTGTGTCCCTCTTATCTTCAGCTAAATTATTATTGTTCTTAGTAAGACACAAATGGCATCTCCACAAAGACTCAGTGAACTAGTGCTACTACCTTTAAATGTTTTCTCCTTGATAGTTCTTCTAGAGGCATTCAATGCAGTATAGCATATGCATACTTTTTAGTATCACAACTTTTGTTATAGTTCCCATCTAATTTGTATGTGCTTTATGTCTATGTGTGGGTATATATACATATATATGCACACATATTATACATCTATAAGTTTACAAGATTACATATTAGGCATTTGGCAAGTGATTAATCTAGGCAGACCCCATTTGAAAGCCTTTCTCAACCTCTCTTGACCTGTCCACAAAGAACCAGAAGTAACCATTGTGGAGAAAATGAAGGACCTGACTGCCCAGGAAGGAGAAGATGCAGTGTTTGAATGCAAGCTGTCCCGGGAGACAAGTGAAGAGAGCCAGTGGTTCCTGGGGGACCTTCGCCTGCAGAGCAACGAACTGACTGAGATCAGAGCTCAAGGGAACGTTCACACCTTGGTCCTGAGGAAGGTGACCCCAGAAGACAGTGGAGCCATCCGCTTCCAAGTGGGGCAGCAAAGGGCATCGGCACATCTGAGAGTGGAAGGTGAGCAAGGCCTGGGCAGCAGGTAGAGGAGGTGCTGGTGAGCCCTCCCACTCCTGCCTTGGTTCCTGGAGAGGTGTGGGATGGAGGGATGTAGATCTGTACCAACATAAATATAAATTAATATCAGTGATGTAAGCATATGAAGATATCAATGTGATACCATTTAGGTAGATAGTGCTTCCACCAAGCACTACATTTAATCAAATTGTTGATATATGAGATATGTTTGCTCTTCATTTGCTTAATAGGCCATTATGTCCTTAAATCAGGTCTAAACTGTTGTCCAGAAAGCCAACAAACGATATATTTGTGCTGCACATTAGAAAGCATTATCACGTGTCTGGACTGATCCTGGAACCATGGGAACTAACTGAAGTGACATGAGAGTTGTCCTACTACCGGCTCAAGATCTAAATTTGTGCTGTCCTTTCTTCTTGCAACAGAATCGAAACTAAAGCTCTCAATTTGAGCGTGAGATTTTATGAGTCCATGGTGGCTGCCCAGTTTTTCAAGGGAGGTGATTGGAGCCCACCTTGTATGAATGACTCCACCTGACTTAGACATAGACTTTCGTACCCCTGGCAGTTCTCCTTCAGATAAATACAGCAGAATTGTAGATGAACCTTACCTTAAAAATAAGACATTCTTCCACTTTGTGTTTTACACTTTTTTCCTCTTTGCCTTTCCAGCTCTGCCTGTGTTTTTGAAAAACTGGCTGATAGATGAAGAAGTGGAGGAAGGCGGCACAGCTGTTCTGCCCTGTAAGCTGACCAAACCTAATGTTTCTGTCGAGTGGAGGAAAGGAGATAAGGTGTTGCAGTCAAGTGACAAGTACGAGATAAGGCAAGAGGGGACAGACGTTGAGCTTCTTATCTATGATGCCGAGGCTCAGGATTCTGGCACTTACACGTGTGTCTCAGGGGATCAGCAGGCCTCTGCATCACTGCAAGTCAAAGGTAAGAGGCTGAACCCTGCTTGGGGGCAGAAAAAAATTACCTGTGGTCATCCTGCACCAAGCTGAAATGTTGAATTATCGTTAATACTCTGTGCCTGAAAATTACAATACAAGGTTTAACCTGGTATATTAGGTTTAAACCTAATATACAAGATACTGGTTTTAGAGCCTGTGTTAGGCTGTCACAAATGGTATTACGTTTAGAATGAGTTGCTCCAGCAATTAAATGTTTTTATACTGCTGTCCCTCTAAGTGGTCGCACTGAAAAGTGTAGGGGTGTGCACATGAAGCCCTTTAGACAGCCCATGACCCACATTGATCCTGTATGAAGCAGCAGTGGTCTCCCATCATCGTGATCCCCATGAAGCTCTGGCTATGCCAGGACTCAAAGTCCTACTGGAGTGGTGGTGTTCCCAGCTGTGGCCCCAGGGAGATGGGAGAAGGTGCAAGTCACCATCCCCTGCGTCACCGCTGTGTCTGCCTCTCCATTGCAGTGTTGCCAGTGCTGTTTAAGGAGGAGCTCAAAAACGTGGAGACTGAGGAAGGGGGAACGGCCGTCCTGCACTGCGAGATCTCCAAGCCAAATGCTCCTGTTGAGTGGAGAAAGGGCAACATGGTCCTTCAACCCAGCGACAAGTACGAGATGAAGCTGAAGGGCAGGATTGCTGAGCTCATCATCCACGGTGTGGAGCCTGATGACTGTGGGGATTACACGTGTAGCACTGAATATGCAATAACCACAGGCTCTGTGTATGTGCAAGGTAAGTGAAATGTGATGCAAATGCTCTGACTTCTGTGCCAGAATTTCTCACCCAAGTATCACCAAGTATCTTTGACAGTACTAGACCAATGTCACCACAAAAACTTGTCTTTTTACTGTTTAAAAACTATTTTTTGGAGTAAGTATTAGGGAAAATACTTAATTTCCTGTTTTGATGGATTGTGGCTTCAATAGTTTTTGATATTAATCTATTAAAGCAGTGTAAATAAATGTCCCTACTGAAACCTTAAGCAAGGTTCCTGCCTCCGACCACCTACAGTGTCAATGGAGATAGCTGCAACATACACAGGACAGCCAGGTAAAGGATGGAGGCTGTTTTTTTAATTCTCTCTAAGAAATGTAAGGTCTTTTTTTTCTTCTTCTTCTTTCTTTTTTTTTCTTTTTTTTCTTTTTCTTTTTTTCCCCCTCTGGAACAAACATTGCAAGTTTAATTTTCCAGTACAGCTTGCCTTGTCCCTTGGGTTATTTCTACTGGAAGGAACGTGTATATGTTTATGCTTTTGTTTTCCCTTGGCACCTTCTCTTGCTCTGTTATACAGAAGAAGAAGCAGTCATAGTTACTGATTTAAAGAACACAGATGTCTTTGTGGGTGAGTCAGCCACATTCACCTGTGAAGTCTCACAGCCAGGCGTGAAGAACGTACAGTGGTGGCTTGATGGATCTCCCCTTCACAACAACTTTGTGACAGAAATCTCTGAGCAGGACGGGACAGTCCACACTCTGACCCTAAAAGACGTGGCGTGCCATGACTCGGGCACTGTCACCTTCCGAGCTGGGTCCCTTATATCTTCAGCTAAATTATTAGTCAAAGGTATTTTGTTGTTAGCAAGACACAAATGGCCATCTCCACAAGTGCTCAGTGTGCTAGTGCTTCTACCTTCCTGGCTACTCTTACTAAATGTCACCAAAACTCTTCTTTGGCATGATAGTCCTATAGCATTCTACCCGTACTCATGCCAGCAGTCTTGTAGGTATATCCACCTGCTTTTAGGATGATTCACGTGAGGAGGTCTTGCAGGGTCAGAGCTTTTGTTTTCAGCTGGTCTCTTGGTAGAGCTGGGCATACTCAATAGAAGAGACTGTGCTTTGGTCACTGTGGAGCTCCCCAGTTCTCCTCCCAAGCTGTTTTTACAATTCTGCAAAATATTATGTGGGCAGAAGTTCACGGAATTCACTACTGTGCTGTTCCAGCACTTGGTTACTCTAAATATACAAAGCTCAATGTATTCCCAAGTGAAGATCCTGGACTCATACACTGATGGCTCCAGAGCACCCCCCAGAAGCTCCTGTATGACCACAGAGTACCACAGTGGCAAAGTGGGTCCCAAAGTGGTTTTCTAATGGTTGACTATTAATGGTTAGCACTGAACTAGCAAAGTTTTTTTCCATTAAATGATCTTTTTCCCCATTTGGTAAGGGTAGCCACAAACTGCAAATAACACTGAGCTCCAAACTTTATGGTAAAGCAAGCTTCTTCACAGCCGGTCCTATTATAGCCATCCAGGAAAGCTGTTACTTTTCAGAAAAAAAAAAAAAAGTACTTATTCCTTATTTGGTAATGGGATTTGTATATTAGGTTTAGCATGTAAGGCAATGTAAAGGCTGAAATGATCTCTTTGTTCATGTCTTCCTTTACATTATAATTGTTTACCATAGAATGGATTGTCCACAATATGGAATCGTAGTCAGGAGTTGTTATCTATGTCTCTGTTAACAAAAAGGATGTGTCCCTTTCTGGATCTTCAGAAAATTTTGCATTTCTGAGGAGAAGAAATGCCAAATCATTTATAGTTAGTATCAGAATGGCACAACAGTTGGATAGTGTGTAAACATGAGAAATCCCAAGTTAATTTGCCAACAAATTTGACTTAAGTATTTCCAGAGATAGTCTGGTTCTGAGCACTGAAGGCAAAGAACTCCAGCAGATGTAGAAACTAACTAAGAATAAATGTGCTGTTAGATATTCAGCCAAACGAAGGGCTCCTGGGAAGTTTAAATTTCATAGAATCACAGAATTGTTGAAGTCTAGTAGCCAAAGCTCATGATAAGACGTGTGTGTGTGTGTATGTGTATGTATATATATGTATAGATGTATATGTATATATATATATATATACACACACATATATATGTATATATATATACACATACACATACACACACACACATATATATAGTGTTTCTACTGAAGTAAAGATTTTTTTAATGTGAAACAAGTCCCAATATTATATAACTGTAACAGGATTAGGATGAGGAAGGCCTTCAAAAACCATTCCAGTTATGGTGTTCTGCTCAGTAACACTTGATTAAATAGGACACCAAAATACTAGTAAGATTCTAGTTGAGGTTGTATTAACAACCAATTTTCTTCACTTTATTTTGTCCAGAAATTTGAAGTTCTATCTTCAAGCCTATCTTCTATCTTCAGTCTACCTAGCTATCTGTGGCTTGTTCTTCATCAGGGAACAGGTTGTCTCTCTCAGTGCTGTGAACCCTGTTTTCCTGGTGTCTTTATAATGGGATATATATTCTGTGTTGTCCGAGGTCTCCTGACAGCTTTTCTTCTTCACAATGCTCTGTCCTGCAGTTCATCCGTTCATTCACTCTCCTAGCATGGCTGAGCAGGGGGGAATGGAGAAGTGTGGAAGAGCTGTCCTCTCCCCCTGCTCCCCTTGGATGGGGAACTACAGTGTACCCATGGCCCAGGGTGGATCTTGTCATGCTTCAGGGAAGAGTAGGGCTACCAAGCTCTTAGTTCAGCAGTGGGACGGTGAGAAAAGGACATTCTCCTTTTGGGATGGTGGTGACATTGAGATGAGTGTATTTTTCCACCTTATGGGGATGGCGGTGTAGTCCCCGCATTGTACAGACATCATCTTGCTTCTTCAGTCCTAATGCAACCAAAACATCTCTAGAATCTGACATTGATGCCTCCTCTCCATATGCATGTACACGCACACAGGGTGGCAGAGGGAGCCTTAGAGAACAGAATCAAGCCTTGCAACGAGATGCCAAGAGGCATTTCCCAAACTTCCTTAAGAGGAGCATTCCAGAGATCTGTTTGATGTACCTATTAGCAAGAGAAAAGGAAACTGCTTCTTACCGCTCCCAGAACTATATCTCTGGTACAGGGCTAATTAAAAGAGCATGTACCTCTCCCTTGTGCAGGGTCTGTCCTTGTTAGAGCTGTCCATGAGCTTTTCTGCTGTGAGCGGGCTCTCCTCAGGACCTTGCCACTTCAGGCCCCTTCCCCCGGTCCCACTGAATAATGCTGGTGTCTTATTATTATTATTATTTTTTCCCAAATCGGTCAAGGCAGTCCCTCCACTATGTTCATCCATCTCAGACTTGCACTCTTGAAAGGTCCTCGGAAGAAAAAGTGTTTCACATGCAGCACTACTTAGTCTAGAAAGTCTCACCAGTGCTGAGAGGAGAACGAGTGAGAGCAGGAGTCCCAGCAGATGTTCTGCACAAGTTCAGGGTCAAGACTGTTAAAGTTCAGGCCTTCACTGCTGCTGGTCCACCTTCCAGTGTGCTCGTTACCTTCTAATGCACCAGGTTTGCTTTATCCTGCTTGATGCTGACACAAGCAAAGACTAAAACTGCTAATGCCTAGTGTGTCCAGTGAGCTTCTTGCTTGCACTGTCACTCGGCTTGCTTTCTACAACTCTGTACATGTCAAAAAAAAAAAAAATCTCCAAGTTGCTATTTTGTTAAGGATCCGCTAATGCATGTCCCTCCTGACGTGTTGGTTGACAGATCCAACCATTGAAGTGGTCAGTCCCATGCAGGATATAACTGTTGATGAAGATGGCACAGCAGAGTTCATATGCCAATATTCTAGGCCAGTGCACGCCATATGGAAGAAAAATGATCAGGAAATACATGCAGATGGGCAGCGAGTCATTATCGTGCAGGACTGGAATGTAAGCATGCTAACAATTAAACCTGCGGTCCCAGAAGACACTGGCATCTATTCTTGTGAAGCTGAAGGCACTAAAGTGGTGGCTGCACTTGATGTTCAAGGTGAGGTCTTCCAGACAAGGAGGAAGACTATCATGGGTTCCAAATACAAAAAGGTGAAAAAATCGTGGAGCATCACACAATAAGTGACACCTCAGATCCCATTCTGATAGCTGATAGCAGTGCTAAAAATAGATGGGAGTTAATCGGAACTGAATAGGAAATTGTGGCATTTCCTGGAAGCTTAAGTCTGATTAACACTCACTTATTATATCTATTATGAATTCTATCTCTTGTATGATGACCACATTTGACTCTATCATCAATTCAATAGGACGTCTTGCTGAGTTACTGACATATTGAAGATGGTAATATTGGTCCAAAGGAATAGTGAGAATACTTTTTCGCTGTTACAGAGTAGTTTTTATATGCAATCCACTTTAAAACCAGTCACTAATGGTGAGAGAGAATTTAATTTTATTTTGAGTTACTGTCAACTGCAGTTTATCTAGTACAGCATTTTTTTTTTCAAACACTCTTCATTCAGGAAATCTCTTCTCACTTGTAAACTGTATTTGCGAGGGCCCAAAGAAACACCAAATAAAAAATAACAATAGTTATATATTTTATATGGATGTATAATAATTTACTGCTGATATCTGCATAAGGAATTTTAGTTTCCTGTTACCAGTTGAATTAATATGATGAGCAGTAGTAATGGTTCTGCTCTGATTTCTGAATTATCATGGTTTGTTAGGCAAAATTGTGCGCTCTGTCTGATCAATTATGAGTATAGGAGCAAAGTATTTATATATATATATATATATATATAATTATATTATAGTGTAAGATGCTTATACATTGATAAGCACCTTCCATTTTAGGAATTAGAAATGACTAACAGGTATGAATAAGCATAATGCAAAAGAGGAGATAGGATCTGCAATTATCTACTTTTTATGCACAGGGGAACTAGGATTCAGAAAGTGCTTGAAGAAACAGCTTGGATCGATCCTAACTTATGCTACACATTCTCCAAGGATTTGAAAAGCCTTTACTGTTCTCCTTGAGTATTATAAAATATGGAAATCTTTTTAGTAACTCAAACAACATTTTTTTGCTAGGAAATAGTTCACAATTAATTTTCTATGTTTCAGACACTGGTCATAGAGATCCTAAACAAGAGTATCTCAGAGTGTTGGTTTATAGAGTAGATTATGACCATTTTATGGTATTTGTGTCGACTTTATTTATATGCACGTAACTTCACCATGTATCTGATCTTACAAAATTATATCCACGTGCAGCAGCCCACATTTAGTTGTGCACCAGGCTGATTGCTTATATACAAATGCCAACCAATGCATGCAATTGCAGTGACCCTGCATGTTTCTGGCCACATGATTCATCTCACACATGCAGAGGAAAATAAGCCTAATATTATATTTCATAAGGCTTTTGTAATAATTCAGAAAATACTATTAATATAGATGTTAATTTTTCATTTGTTTGCTAGAATTAGACTTGCAAAATGGCTTGTTAACTTAGTTAGCATTGCCTACAGCTTTCCCAGCTGTAACACCCTTGTGATGCCTTTATCTTGCATGAATTTTCCTTTATTCATAAAAGACAGAAGCCAGACTTTTGGAGGAAGCCTAGGTGAAATGCCAGAGCTTCTAGAGGTTTTTTGTTATTTTTATATTACCTCACAACTTTAAAAAGTATAGCACAGTGTTTTAGAGCGTCTTAGAAATTATTAAGCCACAAGCCTATTTTATCACATCCATATCCTTTCTATCAGCTTTCCAGGACTGGGAATCACCAGTGCTCCAAGACTTGTCAATATGCAGCTATGCACAGTCAAACAATTAATACTGTTGGTGGTTCTCCTTCTCCACTAGCCAAGAACAGCATCATCCAGGGCCTGGAGAACGTGGAAGCAGTTGAAGGAGGTGAAGCTCTCTTTGAATGCTACCTCTCCAAACCCGAGACCTACAATTACAACTGGCTGATTGATGACGAACCCGTCAAAACTACAGAAAACACGGAGGTGGTTTACTTTGAAAACGGACGCAGACATCTCCTCCTGATGAAGAACCTCACTCCCCAGGACAGTGGCCAGGTGACTTTTATGTGCAGTGACGCAGTGACCTCCGCCTTCCTGACTGTGAAAGGTAATGGAATATACTGATGGGGAATCCTACATTTTTGGTATGCAAGGGTAAATCAAATGTAGAACAATGTGATGAGTGACAGAGAGGAAAAGTTTCATAAACCGCTTCCTTCATACCCAACCTATAATTCCCACATGATAAATGAATATTATTTTATCTTTTCCTTTTTTTTTCTTGTTGTTGTTTTTACCATGACCTGGATATAAAGAGCTAGAAGCATGTAACTCTTCTTCAACAGTGGTGAAGTTGACTTTTCTAGGAACTTACGTTGTCCAAGAGAAACAGCACTCTACATTTATCTCAGCTTTTGGCTAGAGACAAATCCTTCTCATACATGTTGTCAGCTTTTTGTGACTGCCTCTCATTTGCATTACCATACTTTTGACTTTCCATATGTGCAAGCGTTACATATCCTATTTAATATGGCCTAATCACAAAATCAGAAAAAAACACACTTCTGTTCCCTCTTTGTTTTCATTGCAGTACTTTCTGAGATGTTTTCTAATGCTCAGAAAGTGTCTTTTCACTTTATGCGCAGAAGTGTCTTTTCACAAGGATTTTCATTCTCAAAGAATGTTTCCAATTTTTGGCATAAAACAGTTTCCTATATTTTCACTATCATCTGAAAAATGCCAGGGATTTGTTTTGGACTTTAATTAGCCACATTTTATTGTATTTATCATTTCATTAAACCCATCTGCTTGTACTAAAGATTTTGAGGTCAAATCCAGATTTGCTACGAAGAGATAAAATCTCTTCAAACCCTCACAGTTGCATCTGGGTGCATCAGCATTAGATTTAGCTGTTATTTCTTAATGTTTTCTGTTACCTGTTGTGGTCCGGTGACTGGGGCGCACACCCCTGTATACATTTCTGCATTAGTTATCCAACAAAAGCTGCACAGACAACATGAAATATTCTCTGCCTCTGTAGTACTACCATCTCCATCACTTGTCTCATTTACTTCCTTAAATATTGCCAAGTTAGGTACAAAATCAATAGTAATTTGTCTCAGACTTCTCCTATTTCGCTTAGTTCCAAAAAAAAAAAAAAAAAAAAAAAAGCTGATTTGTGATGCAGACATTCTGATAACTCTTTGGATTTCATGTGAAAATGTTATAGCTAGAGAACCTGGGTCTAAGGAGACAAATTGAAATGCCTTTCCTGACGTAGAAATGTGCAAAGAGGCAGGCTGAGGATCTAGTGTGTGAGGGTCTTGGGAGAGTTTGGACTCTGATTCAGATAGCGGTTGAGCTCTGTGGACCAAGTCCACCTTTGAGTTGATATTTTATTTCGTAGGATATTATGGTTATGGTTTGCGTGCTATTAGGTGTCCCTGCTTGAGCGGGGGGGTTGGACTAGATGATCTCTGGAGGTCCCTTCCAACCTCAATCATTCTGTGATTTTGTGATTCTGTTATTTCATGATGCTATTAATCCTTTATATTTTGGGAAAAAGGAAGTAGCTCTTTCTTTATGACCCTTTTAGGGGTCAGCTGATTCTGTGCTTCTGGGTTATGCATTGCCATTTACTGATTAGCCATCAGGGAATTAGAACCAGGATTCACCGTTGGTAATTGCAGGCAATTCTACCTAGACCTACTTGTCCTAGACTCCTATTGTACTCTGTAAGGAAGAGAGTGTTTGCAAATGCATATCTCACTGAGAGGATGCCCCTTTCTCAGTGTTTTTCTGGTCATGTTCGCAAATTGTTTGGTAAAGAAAACACAAGAAAACAATGTCAGAGATATGCGATTCTCAGTAATGAAAGCTCTGTAAGTTCATTTTTGTGAGACGATGACCCTTTCTCAGTGTTTTTGTGGTCATGTTCACAAATTGTTTGGTAAAGAAAACACAAAAAAACAATGTTTCCAGTCAGAGATATGCGATTCTCGGTAATGAAAGCTCTGTAAGTTCATTTTTATTTCTCCAATATTGTTATATGCTATATCGGAAAAGGAAGACATTTCTGGATTGGTTTGCATTCCTGATAAGTATTGGAAAGCCTTAATCCCCAAGGATACGATCTGTTGTAATGACAGAGCCTCCCTTTTGATGGTCTCCTAGGTTGCTAAAGCCTGGCTGCCCAGAGATTCAACACAAATACTCCTAATACCTCTTACCAGCATTTGTTTCAGTACCTGAGGGCTTTCTTGCTTGTTTTAATCTGCAGGGTGGCGCTTGGAGATCTTGCAGCCTCCGACAGATGTGGAAGTTTCTCCAGAGGATAAAGCTACGTTTAGCTGCGTTCTGAGTGAAGCGGTGCCAATTAATGAAGTCACTTGGTATATCAATGACACAGAGATTCAAGCCGATGAAGACTGGGAGGTACAAGCAGATGGAAATGAATACAAACTTATTCTGAAAAAAGCCCAACCATATCATTCTGGAGAGGTGACCTTTGCTTCCAGGGAAGCGATTGCATCAGCCAAGTTGACTGTGCTTGGTAAGTTCATACATTGTAAGTATCTGTTGTTCTAACCCAGCATCACTTGAAATTTCAGACTTTGGTATTGAGGTACTGCATCAAATCTTCTAGGCTTTATACTGATTTGTTTCTCGTGTCCCAAGCTAGCCTTCTTAGGCTGGGAAGATGCTGCTGCTGGGCAACTTGTTCTTCAACCAGAAAAAGTTCATCTCATCAGATGAAATTCAGATCAGGCTAGAGATGATCACCAGGGATTCTTAGCTGCAGTCCTTCATAAAATGTAACAGAGAATCTCATGAAAATCTATTTACTGAGGGTTGAGCACCTTCTGCAAACATGTGGACATTGGAGGAAGCTGAACTAGTGTGCAATGGAAAATTATCAGGTGCAGCAGAGAATGCTTTGAAGTGTGCTAATCTACTCAAGTAGAAATTTGACTGTAAATGCAGATGAGGAGCTGTGCACCCAAGGCTTGAATGTGGAAAGAAGTGGCTGGAGTCTCCAATAATAATAATGAAACTACTGTCGACCTAATTTCCTCCTAATTTGTTGAATTGTTATAGCATAGGATGGCAGGTCATTTACCCACACACACCTTGTTTTAGAACGGGATAACATTTTAATAAGGATTGGAGATGCTTCTTGGAAAGTGACTATTTGTCATTAGCAGCTTAGGTTGATGGTCTAGCTTAGGTATGCCTTCTGATCATAGACATGTAGCACTCAGCTTCGTGCTGAGATGGGTGATGAATGCATTGGACTTCCTTCTTGTTTCTTGCAGAAGCCTCTCGTGTAGTTGTGTATAATAAGGCACTATTGCTCATGTTATACATCACTGGAACTTTGTTGTGCCCTCAGCCCACCCTGATCCCCCTGAAGAACCAGAAGTTTTAAGTAAGGACAGTCACTCTGTAACTCTGTCTTGGTACAAGCCGCTGAGCGACGGTGGTTGCGACATCCTGGGCTACAACGTGGAAAGGAAAATCCCAGGTGTTGGCTGGCGGTCATGCAGCGAGGGAATGATTCCAAGCACAGAGTTTGTGGTGGACCACCTCACCCCAGGCGAGCCCTACAGATTCCGCGTCTCTGCTGTAAATAAAGTTGGGGCCAGTGAGCCGGTGCACTTCCCTCAAATGGTGCAGCTAGGTGAGGAAGAGAGGTGGCCCCAGGAGGACTGAGAGGTGCTCTAGGCCTGTGTTTCGCATGGCATGCCTGCTTCACCCACTCCAGGGATCTCCTGGGAGAGTCCACTCAGCAACATATTTCAGTATTTTTGCTGCCCTACAGGATAGGAGAAAGATCTTGGAAAGATTGTTCTAGGATGCTACAAAGCCTTGCTAGCGCCCAACATCCATTTTCTCCAAAATGCACCAAGCTATCATGTGGCCTGCACTGCATCCATGTGTTGTCTGGGAACCATGAGTTTCTGTTCTGGTGAAGGTCAAGTGGAATGTGCCAGAAGCAGCATGCTGGAATGTGTTAAATGCAGCTGAGACCCTGGGTGCCTGTGCAGCGGGTGGGCAGTGTTGTCTTCTTCACCCATCTTTCTCACTTGTTATACTATTAGCAAATCTTCATATAATTATCTCCATGAGGGAGTGGTAGAGGACACAATTCCTCTGATGTCTGCTGGTGTAACTTTGGAAGCCACAGTGAGATGGAGAGCCTCTTTGCGATGTTTTTTTTTTCTTTTCTTTTCTTGCAACACCATCTGTGATAGCAGAATCCCCAGCAATATCTCAAAATGGAAAGACTACGTATATATTAAAAGAAAAAAAAAAGAAAATCCTTTGTTTAAAACTCAGGCACACAATAAGGCTGTTGCAACATAACAGCTTCCAGTGTGTCATGTAGAGGTGCAGTTGATGCTCAGGACTGTGCTCCTCTGGGAAGCTCAGCTGTGTTCTCTAGGTCCCAGTCTCTGGCAGCTGAACATCTACAAGTTTCATGGATTTCTTTCGGTTTCATTTGGAGTATCACTGCAAACAGCACGTCATTGGCAGGACTCCTTCTAAAGTAAAGAAGATACAGAAAAGTTTTTATGAAAATCTTCATACTTTCTGAGATTTTTTTTTTAGCTTTTTTTCAATCCTGGGATGAAGTCAGCATTTAATAATCTCTTTATTCTTTTTTCTTTATGATGTCACTTCTTCAAAACATCTTAATCCTAAACGTTAAGATCTTCTAGGATATCTAGGGCTGTTTGAATGTTCATTATGATGGGTAAATGAAGATCACCAAATACAGAAATAGGAAAAAATGAACAACTTCTGCATGTATATATTTTATTTCTGTATTTGGTTTAACCTCTGGGGGAGCTTGTTGGTTTATCTTTGGTTTTATCTTTGGAAGTCGTGAACTTTGGATACTGTTTGGTTGCCTGCGACAATCGAAGAAACTTTAAGTTAATGATGGGATAATGTTTGGTCATTCTATTATTCTACAGAGTCATCTGGAGTACTGTGAAGCCATATGATATGTTATGATATATTGTGTTAATTCCCATCACCTTGTCTTTTTCCCTTTTTTTTTTTCCCTTCTTTCTTTTTTTTTTTTTTTCTTTTTAATTACAGAGCCTCCAATTACAGTCACTCATACTTTGGTGGGAGGATCAGTCTTGGAAGGTGAGGAGACACGCTTGGAGTGCGAATTGTCAAGTGAAATCCAAGAGACAGTGACATGGTTCAAAGAAGAAGAACAAATACAAGCTGGAGGAAGATACGAAATCTTATCTGATGGAAGAAAGCAGATACTCATTATTCATGCCTTTAAACCAGAAGATCAGGGCACGTATACCTGCATGGTTTCTCCAGAAGTCAAATCTGTTGCCAGTCTGAGTCTTGAAGGTACTGAGTACATTCCTGTGACCTTAAATCTGTTCTGTTTAGGGAAATCCAGGAGTATCTCAGCAGTTTGATCTTGAATTTATTTTCCTTTAAAAGCTGTGTCTGAAGCCAACAAAGCGTCATTATTCCTCTTTGGTATTGCCCAGAATGTTTCTGAATCAGTAATATTTTTGAGCTGTTCAAATAAGATTTTTCTGATATTTTCCACCTTAAAGAAGACTCCAGAGTCAGCAGACTCCTCAGCACTTTGTAGCTTAGAATAAAAACTTCAAAAGAAGAGAGAAAAATGTGTTACCCCTGGGATAACACATAGTCCTGTAACCAAAACCATTGAAGATCTATTCAAGACAGTCAGTGGAGCCCTGTCTAACTTTAAAATAGGGTGAGCTGAACTGCCCTCGATGCTCCACTGACTTTCTTAACTAGATACTCAGCAATTGCCACAGGAGTGTAGGCAGGAGCTTATGGAAGACCCTTGTAGTTATGTATTTTTTCATGTACACTAGGTCTTCCTATTGCCTTTCTTCCTGTCTTTCTACTTTGGCCTCGAAAGGAACCAACAAAACTGGCTTATACTACATGTTTAGTTGGCCACAACTAGGTTAAGAGAGTTGCTCTAATCTCACTGTGAAGAGATAGCTGAAAATACTGGATTAATTTGTGAATGACAGAATGAAAGAATGACAGAAGTTGGTTTGTTAGCTTCAAATGAGTGAGGAAGAAAAAAACATGATGTTTGGCCATATATTGTGTACGTGCGTAGAAACATAGGACAGCTGAGGTTGTAAGGGACATCTCTAGATAGCATAGTTCAACCCCTCTGCTCTAAGCAGGTGTCAGCTGCAGCAGGTTGCTCAGGGATTTGTCCAGGAGGGTTTTGAATGTCTCCAAAGTTGGAGACTCTACAGCCTCTGAGCAACCTGTTGCAGGATATTAAATTTATATTTTTTTCTCAACATAATGTTTAATGAAGTGTCAGTGATATTCTTGTCAGGATTTTAGTATGATATTTCCACGTGCTGTCTCTGGGCTTAATCATAGACTTGTTTTTTTGACATCTCACCAATCTAATTCTCCTCAGTTCCGACTGTAGCAATGATTGCCAGAGAGGCAGCCCCTGCAAGCCAAGCAGAAGAGCTGGTGGATGGACATGTTCAGCCTAGCTTGCCTCCTGAGGCTGCTCAGGAGGGAGACCTTCACCTGTTGTGGGAAGCTCTGGCCAAGAAACGCCGGATGAGCCGGGAACCCACCTTGGATTCCATCAGCGAGGTGCCTGAAGAGGATGAGAAACTTCAGAAACTGAAGAAGGAAGAAGCAGAGATGTCTCATTATTACTCAGAGGAATGCTCCACATGTGACGAGCTGGCTAGGACAGGAGAAGCAGATTTCTCTCTCACAAGTTCAGATGATGAGTCTAGAGCTGGGACCCCTTCACTCGTCGTCTACCTCAAAAAAGGTGGTAAGAAAATTGCCAGCATTACTAGCAAGGTTCAATCCATCTCTGCAGACAAATTATGGAAGCAGTGGGAAAAATCTGATGTGGAGACTGTTGAGGCAGTTCAAGATGCTAAGCCAGCTGAACCAGAAGTAACAGATGTAGAGGATCCTTCCATGAACAAGGCAGCTGTAAAGATCCAGGCTGCTTTCAAAGGATACAAAGTCAGGAAGGAGATAAAGCAGCAAGAACGCCCCGTGTTTATCAAGACCTTTAAAAATTTCTCTGCTGAAAAAAAAAAACAGCAAAACTGATATGAAGGTCCGCTGGCTGAAAGATGGGGAAGAGCTGTCGGATGGTCGCTACTATCACATAGACAGTTACAGTGATGGGACCTGCTCTTTGATCATCACTGGCCTGGATATGAAAGATACGGGTAAATACACCTGTGAGGCATCTAATAAATTTGGACAAGTTTCGCACAGTGCTAATGTGGTGATCGGCAGTCAGAAACCTCAGCCAGTTCGCGAAGAGAAGCAAGTTAAACACACTGCTGACAGCGAGACCGAGAGCTCGTCTGGCAGCGAGCTGGATGATGCCTTCCATAAGGCGGGAAGGAGACTCCACAGACTCTTCAAGGCCAAGATCTCAACAGATATCTCTGATGTGGAGGAAGAGCTCTTTGTCAGTGCAGATGAAGGGGACATAGAGGTGGTAGACCATCAGACATATCGTGAGGATGACCAGTACATCTACATCAAGTTTGACGTCTTGTCTGAAGCAAAAACTGCAGCCACTCGGTTCCGAGAGATGTTTGGTGCCCTGGGAATCCCTGTGGAAATTGACATTTTGGAACAAGGCCCTAAAAAAATCGAATTGCGCATTGGGAAAGCAAAACCACTCACCACCAGGGACTATGCGCCACTACTAGGAAGGCCTCCCTCCGCTTTTCTGACTGATACAGGTGAGCAAAGCAAGCTTATTCTTGCTATGAAAAAAAATAACTGGAGCAGATCAGGGTGTTACTTTTTACTTGTGAATAACTTTTGAAACTTTGTTTTTCATTTTGTGCAGATGTTTCCTGGAGATCTTTGCACATGTTCATTTTTGGGGCAAGGAATGAAGTTGGTTCTGGGGGAGGGAGCTGCAATTCTTACTTATCCATAAAGATGTTTTTCATAGTAGAAATTTCCACTGTTATAATGACACATCTATAAATGGTTTTATTGCTGTATTTCAATTAATTAGACAGTTTTCAGAATAGCACTTAAAGAGGAACCAAAGACATTTTGCAAAGGGAAAAAACTGAGACAATATGTAGTTTGCAACTGTGATATTTCAACGTTTATGGCAGTCTAGGAGATTTTTTTCATAGTTTTTGTCAGGGAGTTTCTTCTTGGTGTTTATTGTTGTGGAGAAAGATATCACTCTGTTATTTCAAACCCTACACAACAGAAGTCTTCTGGCCCTGGGCAGAAGTGCTCTTATAATATATCTAATATAGCCAAGTTTTTCCTTTCTTTTCCCCTGTTTGCCTTAGCTGTAGCTCCCATATTCATGACTGAGCTTCAAAACCAAGAGGTGCAAGAGGGATATCCAGTCAGTTTTGACTGTGTCGTCATTGGCAAACCCCTCCCCACGGTTCGCTGGTTCAAGGATGGGAAAGCTATTGAAGAAAACGACCATTACATGATCAGCGAAGACGAGGAAGGGCGCCATCAGTTGGTCATCACAGCCGTGGTCCCTGTTGACATGGGTGTTTACCGTTGCCTTGCTGAAAACAGCATGGGTGTTGCTTCAACCAAAGCTGAGCTTCGAGTAGACCGTAAGTCTCAAAATAATTGTAGGAAAACCAGAAACGATCACAATTAGAGGTGTATTTTTAAAGAAAACTGTTACTTACATTTTTAAAAAAGAATTGTTTCATTTCATTTTGCTAAAACTGAAGTAAGATTCTGTACAAAGATTTCAGATAAACACAGGTGTTCTGCCTAAGCCAGGGCATGTGGGACCCAGCTACAGCAATGTGCAATCAAACTGCCAGGCACTTACCTTAGTAGGGACATGGAGAGTGTATCCTTCTCACTGGGAAGAGTCTGGGGAGATTTTGATCCCCTAGGAAATTCTGTGAGGAAAAAAAAAAAAAGGCCAAACAAATAGGGGAAGAAAAGCCTCCAAATTTTTGTTGAATCAGAAAGGCAGCTTTTCATCTAAATCTGTTTCTTAGAGAGCTGTGGATGCCCTTTTAATAAAGAATATTCTGGATTTGCTGCCTGAGAGTTTCTAGGAGCAAAATGAAGAAATGGGGAGCTATGTCAAACTGCTTTTTAAAATCTTTCAACTGGTATACTACAAATGTGTTAATAATAAAACGATAACAATGGTACAAGTAATAATTTAAAGGAGAACACAGATGTCACTAGTATTGGTGAGAAGGTCAGTTGCAGAGGTATGTAGGTGAAATATCGGATACAAGGAAAATGAATTTGGAAACTTTTATCTCTAATTGCTCTAATTATTGTAAGAAGTAATAATTTCAAACTTCAGATTCCATTAAGTATTTTTTTTTCTGCTGAACAGTGACCAGCACTGACTATGAGACAGCAGCAGATGCAACAGAGACATCCTCCTACTACAGTGCCAAAGAATATGTTTCAAGGTAAGTCTAACTCTAGCTCTTTCTAACTTCTGACTCAGTAAGATCAACATAGTTCTTTAATGGTGCTTTCTAGGTGGAAATACTGAGTCTGGTTTTGCTGGACCAGTTTAATATAGTAAAGGGATAAGCAGATGGGCTGAAATTCCACTTACTACTGCAGATGGACATTTAACATGGACTAATTTGCTCTGCTAATTTGCCACTTCAAGCTAGCCTGGCTATCTTTCCCCTACTTATAATGATATATGTGTAATATCATTATATCATATATATATCAGTATTATATCATATATATCAGTATGTGTTACTGTGATGGCAAACGTATAGAATGAATTATCGTGAAACAGGCGATCCCTTTTTCCTTACCTCTTGGCTATGCTGGTGACTTTCTTCTTTTTAACTTTGATTGCTTCTTAGTCGTGAGCAGGAGGAGTCTACCACTGAAGAGGAGCAATTGCCTCAGATCCTCGATGAACTTCATGATATTCATGTGGCACCTGGAGCACCCTTGGCTAAATTTCACCTGAAAGTGAAAGGTGAGGGGAAGCCGCGACATTTTGTCTTGTTCCAGGTTTGCTGTCAGAGTAAAGTTGCTGGACAAGGTTTTCTGTTGTGCTATTTCACAGTTGCACTCTCAATCCATTCATCTTGCACCATTTTTGCATAAGCCAGCTAGAGAAATGTATATATGCTGATGAACATTGGCGTTCCGCAGCAGACACAACCAGATCAAGTGTCCTGTTTTATGCCCATCTTTGCAGGCATAATTACAAGGATATGTTTCCATAGGAACAATAAGGAATGAAAAAGCAATAGCATCTCTTCATACTCTTTAATAAATGAAAGAGTTCTGGACTAGGAACTAGTAATGAGTCCTAACTCATCTTCCCTCACTGCAACTACTTCATTGGAGCGGGTGGTGAAGCTGTGACACAAACCAAGGGTGATTTAGGCCGACATTTTGCTTCACTATGGATTTTAGTGTTTGGCTTTGTGTGTGTTGCAAGTTGGTCCTTCCAATCTGGAAGGTATTTGGATATGCAGCAACTATGGAGCGTATGAAGCAGCAAGCTTCAAGAACTGAAGAGACAGGAAAATAATTTAAACTGAGTTTCCTCAACTCTTCTGAAGCTTGTGGTTGGGTGGAGATGCTCCCAAATTGTCACTGCTAATGCACTATATTCTCTGTTCCTTGTAGGGTACCCAGAGCCTCGCCTCTATTGGTTCAAAGATGGACAGCCATTAAATGCCTCCGACCGTATTCTGAAGATCGATAAAAGAGAATTCCACTCCCTGGAAATTCTCAATGTCACCAAGGCTGATGCTGGCCAATACTCAACATTTGTCATTAACTCGGCTGGTTCTGCATATTCGTCAGCCAGGCTGGTAGTCAAAGGTAGTTTTTTGTCATATCTTGACTCCTGACTCCTATTCCAATGAAATAACATTTCCGTGTAGTGTGTCCTGCAGTGAGTCATCCCCTAGAATCTTTTTTTCTTCCTTTGCACTTCATGGACAGAAACATATTGGTAATTTTGTTCTTATCCTCTGCTTCACAGGGCCTGATGAGAAAGAACCACCAGAAACAGGTAAGATCTGTAGCAGATGATAACAGAACCCCTAGAAATTTTTTCAGTGGTCTCAGCTCACACAGAAGGTGTAACCATGTTCTACAAATAATGTCATTTTCAGATGCCCATGAGCAACTGATACCACCAAGGTTCCTGGAAAGATTTACCAATAAAAAGGTTAAGAAAGGTGCAAGCATCACATTATCTGTAAAAGTTGAAGGTAAGTGGTCTGCCTACGTAACAATGAAATTGCACAGTTTTGTGACATGTTCTTGTATCTCTTTGGGCCATCTCACTGGAATCTGATCTAGGGTATTGAATCCAAAGTCCAGGGAATTAGTCCTGACTTTGTAAGAGACTTTGTGTGCCTCACAGCAACTTATCTTCACTTCCGTTTTCCTATCTATAGTCTTACAAAGATGTGTAGGTTAACTGGTTCTATACAGTGCTTTAATGTAGTAGTGTCCTGTAGAAAAGTATGTGTTCCTTCATTGTACATTATGACAGTTACTGCTGTAAAAGGATCAGAAAAAGGATCAAAAGCAACATTGACACACATCTATTGAACCTTGTAAGAAAGGACTATCACTGTTAGGAAAATGAGCGCTCCTTGTATTCATTTTCCTTTAGGATTTCCACCACCAACTATCACTTGGCTGAAAGAGGAGTCTCAGGAAAACATCCTTTGGATCAAACCCGACACTCCTGGGTATAAACTCGCAAGTTCAAATATGCATCATAGTCTAATCCTGTTGGATGTTAAAAAGAACTACAGTGGACCTTATACATGCATTGCCACCAACAAGGCTGGGCAGTCCATCTGCACTGCCACCCTAGACGTTGTAGATGGTAAGTCCTTCTTGCAATACATTTCCTATGTTGCCTTTTAAACAGTAGCAAAGAGAAAAGTCAATCTGACTGATAAGGACATTACATAAATCTTAACATAGCAGAGTGGAGGAATACATGTATATTGACAGGGAGGGGAATGAACTGTGTTTGCATCTTATGAGTGGGTGTGGGTGTCTTGGGTGCTGCTAACAGGACAGCTTCCCTATTCTGGTATTTCCAGGCACCCCTGCCTAGCAAATGTGTCCCACAGTAAATATATTTTTAAAATATACTTTGTTTTCTGTCCTCTGATGATAAACCCTGATCTTGCAGTGAAAGAGGCTGAAGTTCTGACACAGGAGCGTGTGATGGTATCAGAAGCTATAATGACCACGCTGGGGTAAGTACTTGACCATCCAGGTTGAAGCACGTTCTGAAGAGTGGGATCCACTTAAACACAGTTTCACTTCTAGAATATATCTAGCCTAAAAGATTTGACCAGTCTCCTGGAGCCAGTGGAAAGAGATGGGTACTCCCAGAGGATTAATTTTCCTCCCTGAGGGTCTGTGTGTTTTCTGACAGTGTCTGTTTTTTCTCTCCATTGACTACAGAAGGATCTTAAGTGAAAAACAGAAAATTAGTCCCTCTTGGCTAATTGGCACTAGTCTATACTTTCCAAAGGTTTATAGCATGTATTAGTCTACATGTATTCTGTAGGCTAATAACATATCTTGCTGCAATTTTGTTAAAACTTGGTAGATTTCAACTAAAACATTTCATTAAACATCAACTTTGCCTGTTAACAGTGGAGTTCTCTGGCTGATCTCGGGGACTGTCTGCACAGGGAATTTGCCATGAAGAAAGGTGCAGTGTGAAATCAGCTCTTCCACTGCATTCTCTGACTGTATCTCACATTTATTAGGCATATTTGGAGATACTTATTTTATTACTGTTTGAAAGTGGAGTGAGCTTCCTTGAGCTTCCTACGTACCAACAGCATTGTGCAAAGAATTAGGCCAGACAGAGAATGAAAATGTATGCCCTTGCTTACTTTGAAGGAGTTTCCGCACATAGATAAGCTGAGATGTCCTCTAATTTTTCTCTGAAAGAGAGAAAGAAAAAGAGAAAGAGAGAAAGAAAGGAGGGAGAGGCGAGGAGAGGTGTGTGTGGGAGGGGGGAGAGAGAGGGAGAAAGAAAGGAAGAAAGAAGCTCAGATGCTATAAATATGTAAAATTTTAATGATCATGAATCCCACTCCAATTGCCCTGATTTCTCATTTTAACTTCTAATCCTGCTTTACTCTTTTTTCTTTTTCCAGAGCCGTTCATGGCTCCGAATCAACAGTAGGTAAGAGAAGCTATTTTATATGAACTACTCCTGCCTTCCATATCTACAACTCAGGTTGACTACATATTTCCTTATCACCACCTATTTTTGTTCTTTTTTCTCTTATTACTTCCTCAAATGTTGTAGCTTTTCAGGACTGGTCTCTATTCAAGGGTAAATTATAATAGAAAGTTCTTTATTTTTCAGGGCACTTTGAAGGTGTAGCTGGGAAAGAAGGTGTATCCAAAAGCGCTGTTTCCTTAGCTGATGTTGGAACAGAAGAATTCTTCCAGAAACTGACCTCCCATATCTCTGAAATGGTATCTGCAAAAATAAATCAAGGTAAATGACTTGGTAAACACAGTTGAATTAATACAGGAAAAGATGCAAGTACTTTTTTAGGTCTCAAAGCAATCCTGCTGTGCATACTTCCAACATCTTGGGGTGTGGTTCCCAATGGGATTTTAAAATCAAATCTAGACTGAAAGTTATGTGTATAGATATGCAGTAAACTAATAATACATTAAGTTAAAATGAAAAAATCTGGTTTGTTTTGTATATGATGTATTGATTCTCTTGTAGTAAAGTTTTATCTTGAAGCAACGATGAAGTCATACCTCTTGTACCGATATTTTTAGTTCAGTAAGTATGTAACCTCATGCATTAAGACATTCTAATTCTTTATGCAGCCCTAAATATTGATAGGCAATCACACTAAATGCTTCAAGTGCTCTTGTGGGCAAATAGTTAATTGTGTTAAATTAAAAGTTAGTATAGATATGAGTCATGTTCAAATACAGGAACTGCGTTTCACACTTCCCTGTTGTTCTGCTTTTCAGCCACACTTCGAGTACGAGGTGGAGATAGTGACGATGAATCAAAAACTCCCTCTGCATCTCCTCGCCCTGGTCGATCCAGGCCTTCATCCATTGTCCAGGAGTCCTCCTCGGAATCTGATGATGGGGATTCCCGAGGAGAGGTACGTTATCTTTATGGACAAATTGGATGCTAGGAAAAACAGTTCTTGAGAGTGCTTTGTCTCTTGTGTTTTAAGGATCCCCATACTGCTTTATGGGATCTGTCTCACTTTAGTAATGACTGGTGGTTAAGCACAGGCCCTGTGATACAGACCGCAGATGGAACACTAGAGAACAAGGTTCTGATGCTCACTATTTGATCTTCAAGTCAAATTGTCCAAGTCAATATGATCAAAGTATAGCCATTACTCAATAGCATTTTGTTTTGTTTTATGGATTAGCTTAAGAAAATCAGAGCTTGATTTCTTGAAACCTTGGATAGAGTTTGTCAGAAGAAATTTAAATTGCTGACAACCTGATCTTTTTAGATGTTTATTTCAAGAAGTTTTAAAACATATTAAACATTTAGCAATGTCAACCTGTTTTGACATTTTCAGACCACTGTTTGCTTTGACTTGGGAGTGAAATTTACTTTCATGATGTAAATCCAAGATACTGCAGAATGTTTTGAAAATACGTGTAGAACCTTTCTGAGACTTAGTTTGCCACTTGTAAAAAGTGAACAGTGATTCTCTGCCATAAAAGGATCAGAGGATAAAGCATTAAACATGAATAAGCACACTTAGGTTCTGCTGGTGATACAGTATTATATTCCCCTTTCAGAGGTCAAAATAACTGTCATTTCATGCGTGCAGATCTTTGACGTCTACATGGTCACTGCTGACTTTGTGCCTGCCATGCCTGACAAGGAGGCCATCACTTTGAAGGAAGGGCAGTATGTGGAAGTCCTCGATTCAGCTCATCCTCTGAAGTGGCTAGTCAGGACTAAACCCACAAAATCTAGCTCCTCCCGACAGGGTTGGGTATCTCCAGCTTATCTGGACAAGAAATTAAAGGTAATTGATCATCCTGCATTTATTTTCCTGTAAAATTACTTTTTTTTTTTCCAGTTTAGAGTCATCCCTCTAAAGTGAAGGGTGAGGAGGTTATTAAAGGGGCCTAAAACATGATGAGGCTTTTTCATGTTTAGATTAGGCAGTGTTTTTGTGCCTGTGGAGCAGTGTCCAGGTTTAAAAGACCTAATCACTCTTGAGAAAGAAAGAAATGTCACACTACTCCTTTAGGGATTGTTGGAAGAGCCAATGAGGGATATTGCTCTGCGTGTATCAGCAAAAGCATCGTTAACCAGGAAGAATAACGTGTCCTTTCCCTTGTATTGTAGTTGTCACCAGAGTGGGGATCAACAGAAGCTCCTGAATTCCGTGGAGAATGTGTTTCTGAAGATGAATATAAAAGGAAGCTGACGTAAGCACTTGTCAGATTGTAGAGGCACCACTTGGTCTTGCTGATGCTTGAGCTAACAGGAATGTCAGTGTCTAGGTCCCTCATGAGTTACCCTTCCTATTATCACTGTGGCCTGCCCTCTCCCCTTTCTCTCACTCGATTCTCTCAACATTTGCCTCTGTAACATCTTTCTGGTTTCATAATGTGGCATCTAACTTGCAGCCGTCTACCCTACATAGATCCTCGTGTTGTTCACCCTCAGTTTCATCTCGCCCAGCTGCAGATGTCTGTAATGTAGGTGTCTGTCTATAAGCAGAGTGTCTAAAATCCCCTTCGTGTCCAAGGAGATCTAGGCAACATGCTCAAAAGAGTCTGTTCCTATGACCAAATGCTCATCTCTGCTTTAGAGACATGTCAAAAATAATTGTGCTGATTGTTCTTTCCTATCGCCTGACTTATCATGCTGTCTAAACACCTGTTCATATTCCTTTCAGTGTCATTATTCAGGAGTTGCTGATCTCGGAAGAGGATTACATTCAAGATTTACAGTTCTTCCAGACTCATCACCTCAAGTACACTGAGACCTGCCCTAGCGTCCCAGGAGCTGTTTCCAGTCAGAAATCCACCATCTTCAGAAACATCGATGACATTGCTCATTTCCATTCCAGGTGAGCATCCATCTGTGCCTTCATTTTGAAAATAAGGTCTCTGTAGCTGATGTCAGAGCTACAGTAAATATGGATGCTATGGAGGATGTAGAACAATGGCAATTTGGGGTATAAGAGGATCAATGGGCATTTTAGGATGAGAGCTGATGGCCTAGCTTAATCTGGAGCACAGGGCTAGGACCCCCTTGTATTAGTCCCCAGACCTTCAAGACTTACATCCTGCTTATTTCTTGTCCTTTTGAGTGAATTCAATAGAGAAATATGAAACATGACAATATCCTTCATCCCCTCAATCATTTCTTTAATCTGTACTAACCCGAGAATGCCTTATTTAAAAGTCTAGCTGTGTTAACAGTCTGGGGCTGTGTCCTAGCCTTATTCCATCCCCTAATTCTGAGAGATCTCTTTTTTTTCCTTCATCTCCACAGTGTCTTCCTCCGAGACTTGCGGAAGTGTGACACAGATGATGATGTGGCCATGTGCTTTATTAAGCATGAGGCAGAGTTTGATAAGTACATCCAGTACCTGGTGGGACGGGTTCAGGCAGAGTCAGTCGTTGTCAGCAAAGCTGTCCAAGATTTCTACAAGGTAAAATAGTAGCCCACGTACTTACTGAACAGGGATCCATTAACCCACTGTATCATGAAATATAGACGTTAATTATAAATATGATCCCAACTATTAAACAGCTTAATGAGAAATATTGCTAAGTACAGTATTTTTGCTTACTGACTAGACTTTCCCAGTAGATTCAATCAATATTTGAATGTATAACTTATATACTTATGTGTATTATCAAGATTATATAGCAGGACATGTACATGATTATGTCACTGTTAATAGTATAAGATTAATATACTAAATATAACACGTCAAAGAAATGCTATTAGTCATGTAAGAAAATAAAAACCTAGATTTTAGTTTCTCTAAAACTTTATCTCAATCTTTCCTCATTCTTGTCTATATTTCTTTAGAGATACACAGATGAAATTTTAGCTCCTGAAAATCCTTTGCAGTCACTTATTCCACCAGTGCAACACTACCTGGAAAAACCCATAAACAGGATCCAACAGTATCAGACTATTATCAAGGTAGGAACTTTTTGTTGCACACCTCTGTCTAATAGGCTTATGTTTTACTTTGTGTATCCTGTGCGGAGAAAGATTTCGTTCTTATTTCATATTTACTGAGTTCATCCTGTTACAATTCTGCTTGAAAGTTGCTTGAGCAAGAAAGACAGTAGTTATGACCAGAGATGTTGATCTCTAAATGGTTTGTAAATATACATTTAGAGAGATTCATAGTATCCAAATCCATAAAGATCAACAAGGTTTATTCACATGACCTTTATCAATATGCATGTGTGTGCATGCAAACACCCATGCACATAAAAAAAATGCATATATCTGTAAGTATGGATTTATATATGTAAATATGCATGACAAGTAAGAATTGTTACACATGCCTCAACAAATCTATTCTAAAAATAAGCAGTTTTCAAGCTATAAGGTACTGACCAGATTTCTCCTTGTGTTTCTTATGTACATTATGGTAAGAATCTGTTTTCTGAAAAGCTTTGCCCTATTCTTCCATCCTGAACTGTTTCATCTCTCACAGCTTTCATCTGTCATGCAATTTCAGGTTCTGACCAAACCCCCAAAAACATTTTTCAAAAGAGCATTTTTGAGTATTCTCTTATGGCAAATAGCATTAGGATATCCAAATATTGGACAAATGCCAAAATTATTATATGTTCATTACTTCATTCACCTACAGGAATTAATCCGAAACAAAGCAAGGAATAGCCAAAACTGTGCTTTGATGGAGCAGGCTTATGCCGTTGTATCTGCACTCACCCAAAGAGCAGAAAACAACCTCCATGTGTCGCTCATTGAAAATTATCCAGGGACCTTGGAAAGCCTTGGTGAACCCATCCGACAGGTATTTGGAATTTCTCAGTCAGTGTTATTGCTGTAGATACCTTCAGTAATTTCTAAGTAGCTGCTGATCCTACAGGAAGCTTTTACAAATTATATCTAAAAGAGTGTTTCCCTATTGCTTTGTTGTTGTTGTTTTTCAATATGTGACGCATCCCTGTACATGGCAGAGATGGGCCTATTGGTTTGATTAAGTCCAGAGCTTATGGACTAATTAATGCATAATGGAATTACTTGCCTTTGCAAGCCATTCACCAAAGAGAAAGAGATTTGCTTTGGCCCATACGTGATTTCTCGCCAAAGAGGAGATTTGCTTTGGCCCATACGTGATTTTTAAGCATTTTATTTATTCCCCTTTCTCTCCTCTTATGGGCCAGATACTTGGTCCAATTCCTGAACTTACAGACATCAGCGTTTTTTGTTCGTTTGTTTTCGTCTGTATGTATTGATTCCTGAGGAGATAGATGCTCACTAGATATGTTCAGTATAAATTTTCTTTTAGCGTTAGAGAAGTCTGCCCACCTGAGACAGCTGGACTTGAGTCCTGTAATTATCTGTGGGCAAGGAATGTAATTTAAAGGCCAATGTAATGATGACCACTCTGTGCCCATCTCTCAGTGCTGTTCATCTCATGCGTCACCTTTAGCAATAGAAGCAATCTGCTGTGTTGTAATGAAAACAAAGTGCATAAGACAAGGATGTAAAGTTTGTTATCTGTTGGATAGAAAATGATGGTGAGCTACCACGGTTCCAATTATGGGTAAGCAGCCTTCCTTCTTTTTCCCATCAGAGCCACTTCGTTGTGTGGGAAGGAGCTCCAGGAGCCAGAATGGCATGGAAAGGACACAAAAGACATGTCTTCCTCTTCAAGAATTACCTAGTGATCTGCAAACCAAAGCGGGACACAAAAACAGACACGTACAGTTACATCTTCAAGAATATAATGAAGGTCTGTTCACTGCCTCCATACTTAGAATATTTCCTGTCATTGAGGATTTTTCTTTTATGTCCAGCTTCTGTTCATCCAAAACTAGAACATTTCACTGATGCTTTCAAACTATGTCTTTGTTTCTGTAAATGTGTGAACACAATTAAACATGTGTCTGTCCCCAAATCCCTCTGTTAATGCTGCTGAAAACATGTCAGACACTATCAGAAGCACAGGCAGATTTTTACTGTGCAGCAATGAGTTTACATCTAATGTGTGATAATTATTTCAATGAAATTCATGTGAATTTTGGTTGGGATGCTGTCTACAGCATTTGCTAGAGTTTGTAGATCTTTGGTGTTCAGAGTGTGTGGGATTGTTAGTAAACATTTAGAATATATGCTAAATACCCATTAGCTCCTTTTTGCTAGTTTTGTCCTTTCCTGAAAACAATTCCTGTTTCCAGCTCATCTTCAGAAATTCAGGGCACAGGTTAAAAGTAAGAAATTGCACAAAGTGTTTTGCTAAATCATTAGATGCTCAACTCCAGTTAAAAATGAAAAGAAAAACAAAACAAAAACCATTGCCTTCTAAAAATACTTATCCCTATCATTACTGTGAAAAGGGGACACTTTGTTCAGAGTGCAACTACTATATAATTTCTTTTCAGATAGTGCCTGGCTGTGCTGTTTCTTGGTGCTGCAATCAGACCAACAACATTGTGCTGTTGGGAATACCCTTGAATTCTGGCTGTTATTTTCCTGAAATGTAATAATTACTCTCAGGTGGAAAATGGGAGAATGTCTGGTAGTCAGAAAGCCAGGTATACTGGAAAAAGGATTGCAAAGAAATCCTGATGGCTGCTCAGCCAAGGATACTTTGCATTGCTCATGCAGTCTCAAAAATCTTTAAAAGCAGTGTAAATTATCACTGTTTCTTCTTTTGTGGTTGGGACATCTAATAGGAATTACTCATGACTCAGGTCCAGTGAAGGGAGTGTATACTGGTAGGGAGTATCTCCTTAACAAGGAGATTTACTTGTGCTAAATAGTGTTGTTTCCATTTGAAACCTTCACTGAAGATGGTTGTGGTCCACAAGGACTAGGTCCAGGTCTAGGGGGGGAGCAAGGTAATAGCCAAAAATTGTCTCGAAGTAAAAAGAAAAAAAGAAATGGTGTTGACTGTCTTATGCTCCTGCTGTTAACACAGCTAAACAACATAGACCTGAATGACTCTGTGGAAGGAGACGAACGGGCGTTTGAAATCTGGCATGAGCGAGAAGACTCAGTCCGCAAGTACCTCCTTCAGGCACGTACAGTGACCATCAAGTATTCCTGGGTGAAGGAAATCTCTGGCATCCAGCAGCGGATCAGCCAGCCTATCTGGAGTGAGTACAGATCCATATTGTCCAGATATGAGCTAGAAATTATGTCCTTTTTAGGACATAAGCGGTTAACTTGGCTTTTCAAAATCCACATCAAATCTGGTTTTGATGTAGAAAGAATATCAAAATAATTTTACATTGCTTTTTGAGACATGAATAAATAAAAAGTCTCTTAACAAAGAATCAATTCCATTCTATACAGAGCAACAGAGCATTCATTTGGATATCAGGTGTGCCCATGAATTGGGGAATTAACAGTGACAGCTGTGTGGTGTCTGAATAATGGATATACTTATTAAAAACATGGCCTAAGGTACTTCCAGATCAGCAACAAATCCAGGATTTTTACATTCCATCTTTAAAGCCAACAGCCAACTTTTGTTAGACTCAACTTATTCTCAGATAAGCAAGAGCAGTGTGTCACCTTGAAAGTCATTACTCGCTAATCTTTTCTGGTTCCTGTTCTGAACCTTGCAATTCTGCAAATATTCTCCTTATTGTGACTTTATTTTGCAATAGCCTTCTATGATCTGAACCTCCTCCTCAGTCCTGACATGCTTGTTCTGATGTTTCAGAACCTCCAAACTTTGAAGAAATGCTGGCAGACTGCACAGCTGAGCTGGGAGAGACGGTCAAACTGGCTTGCAAAGTCTCAGGCGTCCCCAAGCCATCCATCTGCTGGTATAAAGGTAAAAGCAGCAAGTCATCTCACCTTCAGTGCATATTCCAAGTCTCTACTCTGGGTATATCACTCTTTGTGAAGTTGCCAGGGGACAGTCTCTAAGCTGATCATTGGGAGACACCTGAGTCTAGCCTGAAAGAAGTTAGCTACTAACCTGCAGTAGGGTGGACCTTCCTGTGACTTGATGTACCCTGATTTTCTGCTTTGCAGAATGGTCCATGTGAAGCCAAATCGTGTTGCAGTTAACCTTCTTGGAGATGAGTAACTTGTTATGGTAGTTCAGGCTTTTCTGTGTGATAAGGCAGGTAGCTCTGAGGACACATTTCTTTTTTTCAGCATAACTATATTGCAGAGGAAACAGCTTTGCGTTAAGTTCATACCTTGAAAAACTATGTTCTGCATGCTGCAGTATCTCTATAAGAGAGTGTTTCTTTTACTATACTTGGTAACAAGTAAGAGCTTCAACTGCACAGCACGTGCTTTGGGAGAGTTTCATTTTTAAATGAGGATTGATGATGAAAGAGATCCCCCAACAGAGCAGAGAGTGACTTGGAACAGTGCTTAGTTCACTGGATGTGCTATAGAGGAGGATGAGGATTCTGGAGGAATCTGAGAAGAGAAGGAGAAATCTGAAGGAATCTGGAGAACGCTGAGGATGAGGATTCATCCTTGTGGAGGAGGATGAGCTTATTGCTCAACTAACAGCTTTAGTTGCTGAAAACAAATACAGTGCTTAGACCTCTGACAAAACACATTGATGCAATTCTAGGCAAAAAACATAATTGATACCCAACTATTTACTAAGACTTTTTTTTTCCCCTGTATCTTTAAGATGGGAAGCCAGTAGAGGTGGATCCACACCACATTATAATAGAAGATCCTGATGGTTCCTGCACACTGATCTTGGACAACCTAGCAGGCAGTGACTCGGGACAGTACATGTGCTTTGCTTCCAGCCCTTCTGGAAGTATCAGTACCTTAGGAAAGATTCTTGTTCAAGGTAAAATTCTGCACAGAGGTATTGTTTCAAAGGGGTCTGTTATGTCATACAGTAAACTTAAATATTAAGACATTCAAGAGGTTCTGTATTATATATGCAGTATGCTCCCTTCAGAAAGTTCTTTAATGGTACAGCAGTATGAATTGTTTTTCGGTGAGAAAATTGGGGTCTTCTGTGTCTTGTGTCCAGACATCATGAGAATTATCTGGTTAGGGTCACATTCCTTGTATCCGTTATGGTAGTCATATTTCCAGTTATTGGCTAACTTTACCCTTCCTTTGCAGTGCCACCACGATTTGTGAACAAGGTCAGAAATGCTTATTACATTGATGGGGAAGATGCTCAATTCACCTGTACTATTGAAGGAGAACCTAGGCCACAAATCAGGTCAGTCCTTCAGGAGTCCTTTTGGAACAGATTCTCCTTTACCATTTTCCATGGTTAGAATAGTCTCCTACCCTGTCCTTTAAGGTTATGAACCCTTCTCTGTCTTCTCTAGCCTATCCCCATCCCAAACCTGACTTTTTCTGGTCCCAACACGCTTGGTATTCTCATGCAGTCTATTCCAGCAAGTATCTGAAAGGAAACACCTGCTGAAAATACCTGCATAGGACTGTAACAGATCTAATGCCCTGTCAACATTGTATGAATCCTTTATGTTCCCTGCCCTACACTTGAATGAATTTTATCAGCAACCAGTCTGGGGTATTCACATCAAGAGCTCATTATAGCTGCTCAGAACTGGGATTGCTGCTCCCTGCACTGGCTAATGAGATTTCCTGAGCAATCTCATCAGCCTGAGGAGTTCAGTATCCATATGTGATCTATCTTTAGATCTATCTGCTGGGAATTAAAGGTTGGTGTGGGATCCAGACTTTTCTGTAATGGTTAACTCCTGAGTTGTTTGTCCGCTGGCCTGGATGAGAGGGATGAGTGTGCTGAGGTATCCCTGACATTGTATATTTTTCCTGATTTACATTCTGTGTTTTATGCAGCTGGTACAAAGATGGTGCACCACTGACAGACACTACCAAATACCAAATTTTCAATGAACCACGGAGTGGGATATTAGTTCTGGTGATTAAGAATCCGTCCAGGGAAGATATGGGATACTATGAATGTGAAGTAAGTTCAAAGACATGTACGAATCTGCTATCTGAAATGTCATAAATAGGAGAATTCCTTTTACTGGAAGAGACCCATTGTATGAGATTAGTGACTGATTAATTTTTGCATGTCATGTCAGAAAAACTCATCGTGAAAGTGAAGTTCTCCTGAGCTGGGTCTGGGCTATGATCATCCCAAAGCTTCAGAATATTTTGGTCTGTGATTTTGGTTGTTCAGATAAGAACAGCTTATTCTGGAGCTTAAAGGCAGATCCAGATTTCTAGTGTTACCTCTGTGCAAAGTTTAGGAACAGAACATGACAATTTGTTTCTGGACTGTTTCAGAATTAAGAACAGATTCATGCTGCTCCAAAGAAAGCATCCAAATTCAGAAGAAATAATAGATTTCAATACATGAGAAAACCATGGGAATATGTGTTTGTTTAAAAAGTATAACTGGAAGCATCTAATAGATTAAAATAATTTAAATGTACTGTAAAAGTATTTTTAAAACAATCACAATTTATGCATTCATTGTAATAAAATGTGAAGAGGTTCTCGATGCTCAGGGATAAAAACAGTTGACCATAATGTACAAATTTACCATGGGTCAGCTGAATAACAGTAAATGTGTCTTAGCTCACAGCAACTTCAGTTATTCCTCATAAATTGTTAGGCAATCAGATATAATTTAATGACCTCTACTAAAAGCTGAGCAAAGTTACATTACTTTGCATTTGTCATAAGCTAAGATCCCCAAATCCCTTACTTTCTTGGTTGAATAGGACTCGGTGACCAAAGGGCTGATGAACAACTCATGTTTGGCTACCATTTAAATGGCATGTAACAGAAATATGTGTCTGTTGGTGGAGATAGATTAACCTTAGGGCAGAATCACAGTCTGCAGAGCCAACTGTGAGCAACTGTAGGTTAGCTCAAGGTAACTTGTCTGTGCATGCAGGTCATTTGTGCTATAGCATTTTAATGAACTCCACTGAGCAACAACATGATCGTTCACACCATAGCTTAGGTTTGGGGCCACAACTTTCTCCGTTACTGCTATCGCCTAGTTACAATGAAAGTATTAACTGAGCTGCAATATCGTATAGAAGAGCTATATTGTATTAAACCATGCTGCATTTTATTCAGTACTGAATGATTCTCTTTAGCTGGTGAACACATTAGGGTCGGCAAAAAGTGGAGCAGACCTTTACCACCAGAGCGCAGCAGCCCTGGCTCAGGAAAGGAGAGCAGACCAAGCCATTGGCATAGAAGGTATGATCCTTGACCAGCTCTGTAAGTATGTCAGTGAAATACTCTAAAACCATCTCACCGAGATCAAATATATTTGCCATCTTATCCATGTTGATTGTTGGTGTACACGTATCTGTATGTCTACGGAGAGGTGCATGGGTATGCTGTGCCTTGGCTCTGTACCCATCACCATCTGTTGATTTCCAAACCTGGCAAATCAACATCATCATATAATGCTCAAAAGTGCATTATATGGAAAAAAAAAAAAAAAAGAGGAGCAAGTGAAGGGTATGTCACACCACCACTAATGCAAAAAAAAAGTTTCTCTTCCTGTTGGAGTACTTGAAAATGTGTGTTTCAGTTGGCAGAATATGAGTTAAGTGTTCCTGACAGAAAAAAAAAAAAATGGAATCCTGCAGGTGAAGCTGCAGGTGTTTTGTGACCTCTTCCTGAAACACCACCGGGTAGTACCGGAATTGTTTGAGAAAGCAGAACTAATGGTTGTACATCCTGAGCAAATCTACTTCACCCATTAGCAAGAGCTGTTGAGCATTACACCCCACATAGTCATATATTTGAGTTTTTTTTCCCATTTTTTTTTTGCAATTGAATCAATAAGATAATATGGACTGATCGGACTGGACTGGACTGTATGCAGTGAAGCATCTCTTTCTTAGCACTTTTACAGTGTGACTATTTTAATTTACTTTCTTATTTAGGTGATGGTACAAGTGGTAAGTTGGGAATGTTCACTCCAAATCCATCATAACTGAGTTTAGGTGAGAGGCTACATCTAAGCAAGGAACATTTGTCAATATGGGGAGCTGGTTGCTGTTACCAGTTAGAAGTGTGCTTAGCATGCTAGGCATGGGCACAAGCACTGTCCCTGTAGATCTTTATCAAAAAGCCACCAAACATTCAAAAGCATTGCAGGGAGAATGGTTTTAGCATAGTAATACTGTAACTGTCTCAGGAGGATAAAACTTAAAATATTTGAATGCTTTGTCTTTGCTGTAACCTAAAGACAGAAAAATAAGTTATTGTCAAGGTGTTACCTTTTGATGAAGTTTCTTTGAAGGAGGCAGGTGATGTTGTAAAAACAGACAAGGGTTGTAAATCAGCATTAGGAGGATTGTTCAGCTCTCAGGGTTTGAAATATAAATGTTCAGCCCCAGATTACTCATGTGCTGTAATATCCACAGCGATAAAAGATTTTGAGGTTGATTGAAGAAATGTAACTTGGAGATTTCCTGGAAGTTTTGGAAGCGTTACGAGATCATTTGCCATCGGTGCTGTGATGTTGCCCAGACTTGGCAAGGGAAAAGAGAATGGCTCATCTCCTCAGAGGAAGAGTGAGCAAGCTGGCTCAGGTCAAATGGAGCAAAGGATAGTGTCGAGTCAGGTGCACACATGGGACAAGCTGGTTGTTTTGAGCAGTATCACGAGGGATGAATTTGCCATAATGCCCTCAAATGGAGAGGGAATTTGCTGCTTTCTTGGCAACCTAGAACTGGCTTCAATCTAACTATTGAATAATCAGGTTCACCAGGCTGAGAAAAGGAGGACAGAAGGAGCTCATGAAGACTTTCTCTTTCCATCTTTATAATCCTATCTGGTTTTGAGAATTGGATTATTTGTAGTTTCACCAAGAAGACAACATCACTACTGTGTGATTTTCTTCCATTAGCAAATAGGAATACTGTGTTGGTTTCCTAGTCCACCTGCTAGACCTTTGTGGGTCTAAGTTTTCCCTGATTTATCGTTGTTTCTGTGAAGTGGTTACTGACAGAGCCTCTTGAAACCCACAAGGGGCTTCAGTTGCAATTATTTTAGTTTTTCGTCTCTTGCCTTTCTGTACTGTTCATTAAACCGAGCAAAACCTATGGACACAACTGGGGATACCATTTTAGTACAGTGGTTTGCAGGCCCTGACCTGCAGTGACAGGATTTTCGTGACCCGTCACAATGGGTCTGAAAAAACAAAGTTCCTGTCATTAGGTTTTAATCCACAGTATTGGAATTTGGGCACATATTGGAAGAACCAAATCCCAAAAGGATGGAAACCACTGGACTAAGGAATCCCTTTTGCGAGCAACTGGCAACTCGGGTGGCAAGCCTGAAACGCTGAGGTCTGCCTTTGGTACCCTTGGTCGCTGCGCTGAAGTCAATGGAGAGGTGCTTTAAAAACCCACTTTTGGTGGATATTGGAAGGACATTAGACACTTAAGTAAAAGCAACTGAAAGAATATCCATCCCTTTGACTTCAAGTTGAGTATGTGCTTTGTGGCCAACCGTCTTGCTGCTTCATCTGCATCCAGTAGATTTGTCCTGATGTGAGCTGACTTGCAGTGACTCCAGCATCCTTTTTTAACATATTAATGTTATGACTGAGCACCCCAAGTTGACTAACTTGTGAAAGTCCTACATTTCTGGAAGGCGCTCGGTTACCATCCAAGCTGGCGCATCCTGGCCGTGCAACGAGACAGTTGATGGTGAGGGAATGGATGGGCACCACAGGTGGAGATAAGCAGAAACTTAGAGAAGATAAGTACCCAGAATATAGCATTTAGGGCAAGGAAACAAGGATTTCTTTGTAGTTCTGCCTTAGTTCTCCTTGAAGAGCTTCAGAACAGTTAGCTACATTGTACCTCCAGTTCTTGGTAATACTTGTGTTGCAGGATACAGCCTGAGGCTTTCAAAGACAACATTTTTTTTTAAGAGCTAGAGAGGCACCATATCCCTTAGTGCAGTGCTGTTACTGAAGGAATAGGGAATATGAGTTTGTCCCCCTGACCTTTTTAAAGTATCCCTGGTAGGGATGTTGATTAGTATAGTTTTCTAGATTTAGGGGAGAAAGTAGAATATAGAGTTTGTATTAAGGGCCGTGCCCAAGAGCACCTTTAATCCATTCACATCAGCAAGAATTGACTTTCCTTCCAACTTGCCCTAAATGTCTCATAACTTGTGAGTCAATGATTTCATGCATTAACCAAAGAGGAGTCTAGTCCTGTAGAAGCACTGGCTGATCCTAATGCTTACAGCTTTTAATCTGCTTATCAGGAGCTCTTGCTTTGCAAAGCTGTTTTCCTAAAATGCTCTTGAACAAGTTGAAATGATAAATCCGGTGCAAAACCTGAAGCAGGGTGTTTTTCTCTTGAAAAAGGCAACCCAAATTCTCTCATCCTACTTTCGTGTGGTTCTGTCCTTCATATAGGTTTGCTTAGATCCTCTCTCATACCTTGGATAGTACATATAAAATTCCTGTCTCACACTAAGCTGCAGATCCTCAAGACACCTTCACTCTATGCTGTTTACAGCTTTCTTATGCCCAGGGCTGTTAACTTTTGCATACTGAATCCTTGTGACATTGGCTGCAGGTGGAAATACTGCAATTGATGTCATTTGGACAGACAGCAAGAATGGGCCTTAATAAAGCAAGGCTTACAAGAGAGTTCCTCCTGCAGACACAGAGGAATTGCATTAAATACATATTTGATTATCAGTTAAATGTAGCTGTGTTGAAACAACCCTCTAAAAAGTGTTGTTTATGTATATAATCAAATTAGGTAATGACCAATTTAAAACAGAGTCAATTCTGTTGCTGCTTATATATTCATCTCACTGTATAATTTAATGAGATTTTTCTAAAAGTTGTGTATAAATTGCACAATATTGATTTAAAGGCTTAAAAATTTACTAAAAATTTCTGACATGGGGAGATTTGAATTCTCAGTTCATCTTCTATCATAGAACAATACCTATTTCATAATTAAAAAGTGATGTTTTAAAATGCTTTATAATTATGAGGTAAAGATAGGTAAAAAGGCTATATTGTACTTGAGCTAAGTGAGAAACATTTGAAAACAATTTTGTCCTTTACTTTCCTGATAAACTCTAATCCCCCAAATTATTTTGTTTAAACCAAGAATTATTTTGTAATTCTGGGGTAACTTGGATGGGTCTATTGGGATTGTTCCAGATTTGTACTTCAAGCTCTAGGCCAGATATTAACATCAATATTTTCACAAAATTGTCTGTAGTCATGGTGAGATTTCCAGTTTTCTTATTGGTAGCAGGGAGCCCTTGGAAGTCAAGATCCATCTAAGTATTTTTAATATCTAGACACTACAGTTTGGGACCAGTACTGAAAACATCAGTATTTACCATAAGCTCTATCACAGAGAATACAGATATTGCAAGTTCCTTCTGCAATAACTATGATTGTATGGAAATAACTCAATAGCCATTTTGGTAAATGTTACTTTTTTGATGGCCTTAGTTGCTATCAGAGTGAGAAAGACTAGGAACAGCAAACAGATTTCTTATTTGTTGTTTATTTTTGCTATTCTTTGATTATGCTGCAGTTCACTTTGAATTGTGCCAACTAAAACTTAACTTATTTAGTATAGAGGGGGGTCCTGAAGATTGCAAACTTATTGCTGGAAAAATATTTTGAGATGAATTTTTTTTGAACTTTACTAACTTTTAATTAAATAAAAAGCAGATTATGCTGTTGTCTTTTCCTAGATAGCAAGTAGATTTGGCTGTTCAGAATGTAATCAAAACAGTCTGGTTCAAACGGTGTCTTAAATTTATGCCAGTAGCTAGGTTGGGAATCTGCTGAATTTTTTTTTAATGGGTATTATCTTTCTTAATTTTGAAATGTCCATTCTAAGAAATGCATGGAAAAATCTTTGCTTTTTGTTTGTTCTTGATATGCCTCAAGAACTTCCAGTACTTTGGGACAAGCCTTAGAAAAAATTATACAGAAAAAGTCACGTGCAGCAGTCGTAGGTGTGTTACCAAGCTCCCCCAGGGTTTCCTGGGGATTTTGTGATGCTGATTTTCTGTGCTGCTGATAATTGCAGTTTTCATTGTTATCAGCAAGGGGTTTTTGCATCTACTCTGCGAAAACTTGGAAGCTGACTGCTGAGTGGTCTTAGGGCAACTCTCTTTCTAATAAGATCTTCTCAACTTAGAGAATTTCAGCTCTCCAGGATTTTCCATAGCACTATTCCCTAAACCATCACCGTCTTTACAGGGGAAAAAAAAAAAAAAGCCAAAACAACTTTGATCCTCCAAAGAAAAAGTAACAGGATCTCATGGCAGAATAAACAGTGTTTGCAATACGGATAGCCACAAAATAAAACCTCATTGTAAATCTAAATTGTTCATTGTTAAGGCAGAACCGTGAATGCTCATTCTTGGTCAGAAACACTAAAGATAATGCTGGAAGTAACCACAGAAAGCATGGATGGGATGGTACAGGTGTTTTTCTCATTCAAGTTTATTCTGATTAACTACAAAAGTTAATTTAATCATTTCAGCTTTTGCCTTATCTAACCCCATGCTGTTCATACTGTTTTCTTTGTAGTCACTGAGCAAGAGACTAAAGTGCCCAAGAAAACCATCATCATGTAAGTGCTTTTTTTTTTTTTTGAGTAACTTTAGTGTTTTGCCTTGCTGCCTATGCATGTTCCAATAACAAGCTTGTGTTCATTGGCCATGCAAGTGTGTTCATTCCCATCCCACGAGATCTCATGTTGTTTTGTGTTATGCAGAGTCACAACCTGAAAAAATCTTACTGTCTCTCTCACAAGATAGTAACACTGGTGTTGGACACAGCCTGGGCCAGGGTTTTTTACGGTACTATATGAGAATAAATTATACTGAAATCTGCAGGAGTCTCATAAGGGCTCAAGAAGGGTGAAATCTGTTCCAGTATTGAAAAGTAACTGTTTCTGAGCTCTGCCCACTCAAAAGAACCACAGCTGCAACAATATCTTACAGCTCACGATTATTTCCTTCTGCTTCCTCTTTTAAAATGTTAAGAAAAACCTTTTTTCTGATGAAGCATAAGGACGTTTAACAATGCTACACATTTTTACTGTGGTGGCTCTATATTTCCAATATCAAGTATCATCCTGGTAGTGATTTTTGCATACTTTCATCCTGGTTAATATTGGGTGTCTATAATATGAAAAGCTTGATGGGAGCAAAAAGGGTATTTTCTCAGTTGTGTGTAGACCAGAAGCATTGGAATATGGGCATTGGAATCTCACAAGATCTTTCTAAGTATCTTATGGTACTTTTAAGTATCATAAATAAGTATATAATAGACTGGTCTTACGTGCTAAAAAGGGGACATTTTCTTTCTGTGTTAGACCTTCAGGACACCTCCATGAAAAGCTTTACAAATCACATCCTCATAGTTGTAGGTATTCATGCAATTATATTCTGGAGAAACACGTTCCCACGAAAGTCAGAACTAAACCTAAAGTTGAGCTGTTGCTAAAACTAGTTCTTGACTTTGACATTATTCTAATAGTGGAGCTTTTTTTAAAACAAAACAAAAACCTTTGTTAAATGGTGAGAAGGATGTATGAAATGACAGCTGAGATCTGTTTAAGCAACAGCTCTGCCTTTCAGATCTTACTATTTTTATGTTGAATATTAATTACAACACATGCTCTTTGCCCATTTTGAGCTAATGGTCTTTAAGAGCACAGATCTCTCCTCCTAGCAGTCCCAAAGGGGGTTATTAGATTAATGAGCAAGATCAAAAATCAATAGAAATTCACCTCCGTTTACTGTGTAGTCATGAACTCAGTAGAGTGGACCTTTGCTTGAAGGAAGACAGTGGTGGGATACAGATGAGAAACGAGTGTGAAAGGGCACATTCCAGCTCTCCTTCAAATGAAGCAAACTGAGCAAGAGAAGCAACTTTGAAACTTTACTAGCAAATTCTAAATCACTAATTTAGAGACAGGGTTGACCAAAGTTTGGATATGCAAATCCCAGAACTTAGAAAGAAACACCACAAAAAAGCATTTTAACCTTACAATGTAAAGCAAAGTCTTTAGTGCAGCTGCGATTTCATCTTTTTCAGCAGTGATTTACTCTCATGTAATTCAACATAGCAGCGTGGTAGTTATAAAGGTTATAAAGAACCTTCAAGCTTTAGAGCTCTGTAGAGGTATGAGAGAGCAGACAAGACCAGCATGAGGTGGAGGAATAGAAAAACTTGAAGGAAAGGCTGAAGCAGTAGTAGTTCTGGAAAGGGGATGCTGTGGAATAAAGATAATTTCAGTATAGCTGGTCCAGTCCTGGACTTTACAGCCTCCCCAAGGGTGAATGGCTTGATAAAGAGAAGAAATCTGGTCTCCATAGGAGAAAACAATACCAGGTTGGATCTAGGCTTCAAAGATGAGCGTGATAAATGAGAAAGATCTCTAAGAGAATTTGCCTTCCAACCTGGCTAGGCAGTGGCAGCAGGACAAGGCCTCTTTTCACCCTGCCCTGTAGATCTGCTCCGGAGCCAAAGCAAAGGTAGCTGGAGAGCAGAGCTCTTGGCTTTCCGTGGCAGAGTGGTCAGAAGAAAGGATGAGGATGATGAGGAAACAAGAGAGAAAGGAAGGAATGAAAAGATTCATAAACACTCCTTCTCGATTCAGGACCACTGTCTTTTTGTCCTTTAGTTACTCTACTTTTTTATTCCAGTCTCTGTTACCTAACGTTAGAAACAGGAAGTAAAAAATATACTTTAGCTGTTATTTGCTCTGAAGTGATTACCTCTGCTGTGGAGCATCTGCTTCAGTATACCTCCAAAGCAAATATCATCTTTCCCTTTGAATTTTGCCATAAAAAAAGAAGAAAATTCTGTAGGAAAATCTGTCTTAAACACGTAAATTAAGAATAGTTAAGTCTGAGCTTAAGCAGTCCTGTCCCCAAGTCTGCAGCTCCTTTAAAGACCCAGCTTCTCCAGGGATGGGAGCAGAAGAAAAGATGCTGAGAAATCCTAACTGCTTTGGATATCCCCCAAAATCTAAAGTAAGGCCAACAGAATTATTCTGAGATATAGTTACCATGCATATCAGACCAATCTGGTACTCCTGTATCAATTGCTGGTAGCAGGATCAGGCTGTGTCTGCAATAACAGTAATATGGCAAGTAAGAATAAGTACAATTTGGCATGGATGTTTTCTGCGGGAAAACGTTCTAACTCTTTTCCTGGCTTCCACAAATGCTTAATGCCCTTGTAATATAACTGTTCTGTGTGTGAAAATGCAGACCCCTGCTTCTCAGAAACACAGCTAATACCTCTTCTCAAAATACTGGCTTTAATCAGTAAAATAGAACTATAGATAGGTATATAAAAAAGGCATAAGCTACTGACCCTTTAGAAATACAGGACCTTTTTTCATTAAATTTGATAAAACTGGGGCTTTAGCCAAGGAGACTCAGGAACACTCCTTGAGTGCTTAATATATTTGGGTGGACTGCTATATTGATCTGTAGTAGCGTAGCAGATGGTCAACACGAGTAAATGATATATAGCAGCATCCAGAAGAATATGTCTCAGCTGGACACACTCATGGTGTGTTCATGCACTCAAGGAGACTAATGGTGCTTGGATCCGGGGGAGGGGAATGGCTTTGAGGTTTTGCTTGGTTCAGAAAGTAAGCTGGAGATGGGCATGTGGGCGTGCGCGTGTGTGTATCCCTTCCAAAATGACACTCTCATCACAAAAAAAGCTGAAGTGCTTACAAAACTAACACCACTGTCGTGCCTTGATCGGCCATGGCATGTGCTGACATGGAGTGTGGCTCCCAGAAAAGTCTTGTCTTCCTGCCAACTCCATCTCAACCATTTCTGTCATCAGAGAGGAAACTATAACCACTGTGGTGAAGAGCCCAAGACAAAAGGGAAGGGTTTCTCCTGCACGTCCTTCTTCAGGTTATTCGCCTTCCCGCTCCCCAAGAGCAGAGCCAATTCCAGAACCAGTTTATGTTTCAAAGCTCAGGCAGCCAGTCCACAGACACGAGCAGGAGGCCACGCTGAAGTCTGCTGTTCCCATGCTTTTTGTAACTGAACCAGAGGACAGGCAAGGAGCAGCAGCTAGAGATATCGTCGTTGAGACCACGGTGGAAGAGCCAAAGCCCAAATGGGTTGAAGTTGAAGAAATAATTGAATTCAAGGTGAAAAAATCCCCAAAGCCAACGAGGAAAAGAGGGTCTTCCCCAGCAAAACAGGAGAAAGATGACTCAGGGGTGTTAACGTTCACTTTTCCGAGCTCTAGGCCTAGGCGTTCCCCAGAAGATGATCCAAACACCAACAACTCCAACAATAAGTTAGTGGAACAGTCAAAATCTTCCTTACCCCAAGACAGTCTCTCCGATGTTGACATCCAGCCCCTGGCGTACGCAACGGCTCAGGAGGGACCTCCAGTCAGCAGTGAAGACAGAAGTTCTCCCTGTGGATCTGAACAGCTAGGAAGCAATTCATTTTTTGATTACGGAACGGAAGGAAAGGGCTATGCACAGGAAACAAGTGCGAGCTATGTCTCAGAAGTTACTTCCCCGTTGCTTGCATGTGGGGGTGAGCCCTTGGTCTTCAGTTTTGAGACAGGTGCTGTGGACAAGCCCGAACTTCTGTTCTCACCAGTAGGCCCGGAGGTTAAAGAAGAGGCAGACGAATTAGACATATCTTGGCCTGCTGGAGAAGAGATGCCAGAAGTAGTGCAAGATATTCTTCCAGAAGAGGATAATGTTGTTATAGTCGATGAACCAGAGGAACTGCAGACAGATGACATTAGCACCCGGGACCGCAAAATCCTAACCCACAATGGAAAAGTACTAACTCTGGAGGATCTTGAAGATTATGTTCCTGAAGAAGGTGAGACCTACGGATGTGATGATCAGAGCCATACGGCTGACAAACCCTGCGAGATCTCAGTGCTCCAGACAGAGATTAATGAGCCAACGATTGGAAAGCCAGTTCTGCGGAACCTGGGGAGACATGTTGTTTCCAAGCCAAGGCAGAGATTTTTCAGCAAGTTTGAAGAGCACGTTCCAGGAGGCGTGTTTGTATCAGCCTCTAGAGTAACCGGCGTGCAGTCTGTAGGACCTTCAAACATCTCTTTCCACGTCAGCGATACCTGCATGGCGGCAGCGCCTGGAGTGCATGCAGCAACAGCATCTGCTGCTCCCTCCTTCACAGTGAAGCCATCCTTCTGCACCGAAGTCCAGCTCTCAGCAGACAACGGGCAATCGAGTTTTAAAACTGAAGTTTCCACAAGAACCCTCAGCTATGGGACAATTGGCGAGCCTGTAACATTGCATATCAGCACAGAAGACCTCTCCCAAAGCTGAGCAGATACAAGCGTAATTTTTAATACCAAAGAAAATATTAAAAAAGAAAAAGAATAAAAACATTCTAGATGAAGGGAATTGGTGGTGAGGATTGCAAGGAAACATGTGCAAGGGAATACCTTTGAGAAAATGTATTTAACTATGCAGAGCTTTTCCAGTCTTAAAGGGAACATGTGTGTCAGATCAGTTGATAATTTTGAAAGCTTTGGTCAAGGTGAACAAATATCATTCCATAGTGGAACAGTGATGGTAGGTTTAGGAAAAGCCTGATTCTCCTGTCTGTGATGAAAATGTAAATGACATTTTTGCCATGAACTTAAACATGATTTAAAGTGCTAATTTGTAAATTTTGGTGTAGCAAGAAGGTGAAAGTATCTAAGCTTTTCAACATCCTTTAGCAGCCAGGATGGGTGCAGGGTTTTCATCTAAAGCAATCTCCTACCACTGTAAATGCCAGAAGGTCATGCAACTTCACACTGCTTTGACTCTACTGTGTACTTTTGACACCAATTAGCTCTACAAAAATTACTTTTTAAAGCTTTGAACATGCACAGTCTGGTTAAAATTGCTCTGGACTTTTACTGCAGAATGAAACATATTGAAAGTACTGTATGTACTAGGAATGTAAAAGGTCACTTTTGGCTGAAATCCTGTCTTGACTGAAGTCAGTGGTCAAAGTCCCATTGATTTGAGGAAGACTAGGATTTCCCTGTTCTCTTCAACCAAAGTTATGAAAAGACCATCATTTTAAAGTTACTGTTTTCAAGTCCACTTCCTAGTTGTCTAAAGACATAAGTTTCATTATTCTGCATCCAAGCATTGTGAATTTATGAACCATATCTGTTAAGATATGGACTTTCCTAATGTGCACCAAAACAGTAAAAGATAGCAGAAGATGCCTACTACATCTATAATCAGAAACTATTAAATATAAAGAATGACAAAATCAGTCTTCTTGATGAAGTGTTCGAATGATAAACTACAATATTTGATCTCCTGTACATGCCAGTGGTTAAATGTTACTGTTAATATGTTGATGGTTAATGTCTCCTAAATTTGCTAAAGGAATTTGCCACTGAGCTACAGCAAAATGCAAGAGCGCAAAGATAATTTACCAAAAAAAAAAAAAATGCAAAGAAAGAAAGTGAGCTTTACTACAAATATCTGGCTGAAAATTATACCTGATTATAATGTTATAATGAAAGGGGCTGCTTTGAAGCACTGTCAGTTCCAACTGCATCATATCACTGTAGCCATGTATGTTTAGATGTGCTGTAGATGCCACATTGGGTTGAGTTGCCGTGGAACTTTGCCTAGGAATAGGCAAAGGAAGTTTAAGCTAGGAATATGGTTAAGAACGTGGTTCTTCAAAGGACTGAATGCCACATAGGTGTACTGAGCATGGCCCATTCCTGTTGGCTTCACCAAAAATGGATATTGCATAGACCTTCCAAAAGTCGCTCAGTCCTGGAAAGTAACGGGCTCATGGGCCCTAATATTGGCCCAGCCAAGTATTAGTTGAAGTCAGCTGGAGTTCGTCCTTGCTCTCACTAGGACCAAGCACTGACCCTGTCTATCTGTCAGAGGTATGAGACAAGAAGTTCAACACCTTTTCCCAGCTGAGTTGTGTGCAGCAAATATTTTCTTTTGGATGGTACAGGGAAACCACAAATGCTCAGACATGGTTGAATTTCTAACTGACCTGATGGGGACTAAGTGAGTTTTTGCCTTGGCAATGCTGGTGCATAATGGTCTGTCTCATCGTTTTCCAGCTGGTTAATACCATGAAACTTGTTCTAGAGTCCTCCAGGTGATATTCCCACTAAGAGGGATTGAATTTAAGAAAGGTGCTTGTAGAAAAGAATAGTTTTCTTTTTTTAATTATTATTATTATTCTCTCCTGTGTCTGTATCTTGATTGTGTGGTGACTGAAATGAATGCATTAATTTGGCAGCCTTTTTCATTGCAATATCTGGACAGAATATTATGTGTAATAACATGTGCACTATCCTTATGATATACAACACATTTCCAGTGACTACAAGTGGTGAAAGAAATCAAGCCTCTGTAGTGTTATTCTTCTGTTTTTGAAAAACAACACTTTTACTTACACTGTTCATTTTATAATCAAACAATACAATGTAGATATATTAATGTTTTTCAGATATTGCACTGTATATTGGAAAATAGCAGACATACAACATGGAAATCCTTTTAAAATGGATAAAAAAATTCTTTCTTATTGGAATGATTCTGATCTCAGTTTTTTCCAGAATCAATCCTGACTAATTCCACAGGACTAAGTGGTTTTGATTCATTTTTATGTAGATGCTGCTGAGAAAAGAATCTATCCTCTAATAGCCTTTAAAAATAAAATATTCATCCGTAAGGCAGATCCAGATGTAAAAAGTAATGTGGAGGTTTCCTCCTGATCTGGTTGATGCTCCTTTTGTTTTTTAAACAAGATGAAAGTTGTCATTAAGATGGTCATAGAAGAAATAACTATATTTCAGGTCATTAGTTCAAAGAAATTAACACCTGTTTACATTTTCTTTTGAAATCTAAGCAAAAGAGAATTAATTGAAAGGAATTTTTTTAAAAAAATCCTAGGTAAGACTGTTCAAAAACTGAAAGGTTTATGAAAAGTCTGTTATATTTATTTTCAAAATATTTTCCTAGAGATTAATACTTAGGCTTGTAAGTGATTAAACTGTGTAGATAACTAATGAGACGTGTGGGGATTTATTTTGTGTAGGTGAAAACGTACAGGTGTATTAAAAATTTTAATACAAAGAATGTTTTAATTTTCCTGCAGGAATTATAACAAACTAATTCCTGCAGGAAAAGAAAAGAAAACCTCAGTTGTCATGAGCTACAAAACAGCAGGGTAAAAAAAAAGTGAATTGCAAGATATGTTCGATGCTGAATTGATACCAATAAATGTTTTGCGTTATCTATTACTTAATTTACTGGATTTCTGTGTTTTTGTTTATTCACGGTGCTCTACCAGCTAGTCCACTTCTGCCATTGACCTCAGCAGGAGGTAGTTTGTAAGAACTTGAGAGTGTTCATTTAGTTGGGCTCTAGCTGCAATTTTTAGGGACAGTTCTGGAGGTGTTGAAGCAGAAGAGCCTGTTTTTCAGGGTAGTTCAGCCTCAGATTTCAGGTTGGATGACTTTAAGCAGCGCTCATCTCCTTACATCCTTCTTCAGGGCTGAACTGGAACTTCAAAATAGGCATCCATGTTGTGTTGCTGGCTAGGGGCCTAGGAGAGACAGAGGGACAGAATGTTTCCATATATCATTTTGGCACAGGAAAATACCTGTGTGCCATACCGTGACGTTAATTTGACTTACCTAAATTCACACTCCTCATTTTGATAGCATGATTCTTGGTACCATCACTAAGAGGAAAGGGGTTGGATTAGCAGCATGGGGAAGCTCTGGATCATGCGGTAGCTCATGGGTCATAAATGTTGGATAACCTCTGCCTCATCAGTTCTCTTAACTTGAGCTTAAAGCACCACTGGTTCGACCTGGAGGTGCACGTGTCTGATGCAATGTTGACTTTGACCGAATTGTGCTTGCCCCACAGTCACTACAGTGGTTAACAACTGTCAGCAACATCCCACTGGCTCACATATATTTCATATAAAACATTTTTGCCCCATTCTGATGGTGTTATACCTATTTGCCCAGGGAACAAAGAGGAAGTATATCCAGTTGCAAAAACATTTAATTGACATTGACATTTAATGGCCATAATTAAATTAATCCTAATCAAATTGAAATATATTTTCTCCCTGAGATATTGAGTGCTTCCTTTATTTCCTGATGGTTCAGCTATTAGCAGCTGTCCAGCTCATAGGACAGCAGCAGCTCGCAGCAACCACAGTAGGAGCATCAAGGAATCATAAGGTTTATGCAGAAAAATATTTAAGCATCTTCCATCCAGATCTGTGCTGATGAACAGTGATGGGTTGGTGGGACATGAAGTGACCAAAACACCAAAACCTTTTTTTTTTTTTTTTCTCTCTTTTTGCATCAGCAGGCCCAGAATTGAAATCTTGCTCATGAGGAAGATAATAAAAACAAAAATCCAATGAGATGTGCCTGCCTGATGCAAAGGCAGACTTTAACTTTCACCTGCTGAGGTCCATAATGAGAATTCATTTTCTCAAGGAGAGGAAAGGAGCAGAATCAAAATAGGAGTTTCCTCTGTGTAAATAGCATCACACAAGTCAGGGCCAAACCTAAAATCAAGTGAAGGCTGTGAGAATTGAGCCTGTTTCTGCAGCAGAATTTCTTTTGTTTCTCCATTTGAGATTTTGTTCTGACAAACCTCCCAAAGTAGAACATCTGACTTTTTATGTTTATTAAAAAATCCCAACTTCAGGAAAAACATCTGAGCTTCTCATAGGATAAGGATGGACAAACTCTAGGAAAATTTAAAAAAAGCAAGGAGAAGTATTTGTTTTCTGAGATAGTTCTGTATAGGTTTGGACTTGGCAGTGTCGTCATCGTGGTCATTTGCCACTCATTATCATTTCTCCTAACAACTAGAAACTCACTTTATGGGCGTTTTGGTGGACATCTGCAAGGTGGGAATCACATTTCCTTGTTTGTATGCAAGTGTCCTTATATTTTCTGTTGGCATAGTCTCAGGAGCTCTCCTTGCATGTTGACTGTAGAGCTGGGATTGTGGAACTTGCAAAAAAAGCAACCAGAATGCTTTTTCTACGAACTGCAGGAAGATTTTTCTTTCTTATTTCTATGGAAAATATTTTTTAAATACTAAAAGCTTCGGCACCAAAACAGGGTATTTTAAAATAAAGCTTTTTAACCAGTTTTGTCATAACGCAAAATATGGTTTGAATTATCCCTCTTTCTTTGCAAGCCACCTCAGGGACATGATGAGAAATCTTAATCTGGCACGGATTTCATCTGTTTTAATGTGTATTTGAGGATATTGCTAGATACTGTCTCTTCCTTTGTTGCAGCTTATCAAGATTAGTGGAAAAGTCTTGGGCAGGAGAGATTGGACTAGATTATCTCTTGAGGTCGCTCTCAATCTGTATAACCCTATTCTATCCCAATCCTATCCATCTTCTTCTGACAGTGCTGGTTGGGAATGAAACCATGGTATTTGTTCATGGAGTGGATGTGCTGCAGGTTGAGCAGTCATTTATTTGTGTCAAAAGCTTTGGTCTTCTCTCTGCCCTCAAGGCTTTGAGTTTCTTGAGTTTCTTTCTGATACCCACCAGCTGACATGGCCTCTACAGGGCCTTGCAATGGCACAGTCTTGTACAATACTCACATTTCAGCTGGTTACTCTGGTACCTGCTCACTCCTCCTTCCCCTTCTCTACTGGAGTAACGTTATCCTTGCACATAAGGTTCCATATCAGCACAATAGGGCACAGCTGGGTTTAACCCCCTGGTCTTGAAAGGGGTGTTTTTGTCGGAGCAGCCCACGTAGAGTTGAGTGTGGAGCTGGCC